ACCGTATGGCCCTGCAACTCCACTCCAAGCAAAATGAAAATACAAAGGCTCTTTCCACACAGAGGCGCCTATACAATATTCATAGCAGCTTTATCTATAAAAGCTAAAAATCTGGAAACAATCCCATCTCACTCTTTGAGATCAAGATTCAGGAATATTTCTGAGTGAAAAAACAAAAAAACATAAGTACTTGGTTAGAAACAAAGTTTTTTGTGACATTAAATTTGTCAGTTGTGTTACTCCTATCTTTGTGTGTTTCAGCTTTTTATATTTTAAAAAATATTTATTTAAAAAAAGATTTATTATTTTATTTATTTGAAAGGCAGGAGTACTGAGAGAAGAGAGGACAGACAGGTGTCTTCCATCCACAGGCATACTCCTCGCATGACTGCGATGCGCAGAGCTGAGCCAGGCTAGGCCAGGCTGAGGCCAGAAGCCTGGAACTCCATGCACATCTCCCATACGGTGCCCAAGTCCTTGAGCCATCTTCCTCTGCCTTCCCAGGCACACTAGCAGGGAGCTGGATTGGAAGTGGAGCAACAGGTATTTGAACCAAGGCTCATCTTGGGATGTCAGTGTTGTAGGCGGTGGCTGAACGTGCTGTCCTACAATGCTGGCCCCCAGCTATTGTATCTCTGAGGGAGACACATACACCTCCCATTGTGATTTTAGACCTGCCATATTCTGTATTTGGTTTTGATCTTTGTGTTGCATATTTCAAACCTAACATTGCAATGTTCATAAAGATTCATGACTGGCAGTTTGTATTCTTAAACAACATGAAGCACTTTTTTCAGCTTTTAAAATATCATTTCCTGGGCCCAATGCAATGGCTCAGTGGCTACAGTCCTCGCCTTCCATGCACCAGGATCCCATATGGGAGCCAAATTGTGTCTCAGCGACCTTGCTTCCCATCCATCTCCCTGCTTGTGGCCTGGCCTAAGGGAAGATCTTTGTCTCTCCTCCTCTCTGTGTATCTGACTTTGCAATAAAAATAAATATATATATATGTTTTTTTAAAGATGCCAGCCTAGCTTCACAACCCCAGTAGCCATTTTTCCATTCTTACAACATTGTGTGTTCTTTCTGAATGTGCAAGCAAACACACACCTGGGTTTGAGATTTTTCAACCCACTCAGAGTCTCTCCTCTCTCTTCCTCTCTCTTTGGTTCCACCCAATTAGAGCCTCTCTTTTTTAAATTTATTTATTTATTTGCTAGGACTTATTCCTACTATATTATCACATATTTCCCAACTTACTGTGTTCCTTGGGTTACTCTTTTTATTTTCTGAAATAATTGTGTAGTGGTCTCTAAGCCTCTGTCTCTAGTTTTTTTTTTTCCCTTTCTCTTCCTAATGATGTGGTTCTATTACTCCTACACAGTCTTGAACTTTTTTTGTTCCCTTGGTCTCTATAAAGCAACTGAGTTAACTCTACACCCCTAAAAAGATTGTCTGCTTGCTCAAAGTTGCATCAGCCTGTTAAAACTACTCCTAGGCCAATCTGTCACCTTCTTTGTACAATCCAGTTTTAGGAAGAACCCTGCTCTTTTTAACCAATATTCCTCCTCCTCTATGTCTGAGCACCCCTGTTATCTAATCATTGATCAGTTTGTCTTCCTCCACCATCCCCAGGGTGATGTGTTATCACCTGCTCTGCCTTAAGCAAGATTCCAATTTAGTAGGTTGAGCCAGAGGGCCCCCTCACCCCTGGTACTTCCTCTTAGTCATTTCCCATCCCTGACTCTCCCCCTCAACATCCCACCTCAAAGAAATAAATCTTAAGAAAAAAAAAGAATCAAGAAAAACCTAACAAGTCAAATGGATTTAACTCCAAATGTTAAAAATGCTCAACATATAATCAACATAATAAAGAATGTCATATATTTAGGGCCCAGCACAATAGCCTAGTGGCTAAATCCTTGTCTTGCATGCGCTGAGACTCCAAATGGGCACCGGTTTGTGTCCTGGCTACTCCACTTTCCATCCAGTTCCGTGTCTGTGGCCTGAGAAAGCAGTCGAGGACGGTCTAAAGCCTTGGGAGACCAGAGGAAGCTCCTGGCTCCTGGCTTTGGATTGGCTCAGTTCTGGCCATTGCGGCCACTTGGGGAGTGAACCAGTGGCTGAAAGACCTTCTTTATCTTTCCTTCTGTCTGTAAATCTGACTTTCCAATATAAAATAAGTAAATGTTTTTAAAAAGAATGTCATACATTTAATGTTTCACACGAAGTCTTCAGATTCAGTGCATGTTTCATACATGCAATACTTTTCCCTCTTTTGCTTTCATTTTTTAAAGTTAAATGCAATATCAAGTTGATAATCTGAAGTTTAACATAAAGCCATTTCTACATATATGGTTGAATGAGATATTGTTGAGTGATGGTGCAGCTCATTTTAATTCAGACTCACCACGTGTGTAGAACCCAGTTAGCCATGTGTGGCTTGTGGGTACCGTAAGGGACAACCCAATGCTCAAATTTTAGTTTCAGATAGTTGCTTATTTTTTACATTGATGCTTCTTTGGACAGTGTGTCAGTGATGGTCCGCTCAACACCGCTCCTTTCCTCTCACGGCAACGGAGAAGTTTGCATTTTATGTACATGATCGCTCTTGCAGTTGCCCAGTGTGTCACTGGGAACAGTAATGGAATCCAGTGCAAGAGTTACCAGATGAAACTTACAGACCGGATGATTCTTACAGACCGGATATGAAACTCCTCCCGGGTTTGGACTTGAATGTTCACACCTTTACAAACAGCACTCTGCAATGAGTCAAATTACTGTTATTAGTAATTTTACGTTTTAGTGTTAGTAGTAAATGTATTTCCAAAAAAAATATATATATATATAAAAACCTGGGGGTGGGGGAAAAACCTCTTTAACATTCTGTTCCTTTTTCAATAAACCAAGACCAAATTGCAGTCCATCCCTCCTCCTGTGCCTTGGACTCGTGTGTCTCCATAAAGTGAACTCGTTTTCACCCCCATTGGACCTTATACATTTTTATTTCTCTGGGATTTCTTTTAAAGTTTATTTTTGTTTATTTGAAAAGCAGACACACACACACACACACCTTCTATCTGTTGGTTCAATCTGTCAAATGTCCACATCAATTGATGCCAGGCCGGGCAAAAACCAGAGGCCAGAAACTCCTTCTGTGTGTCCCACATGTGTGACAGGGTTCCAGGCACTTGGGTTCTCCCCTGCTTCCTTCTAGCACATCCAGCAGCAGGAAGCTGGAACTGCAAGTACAGTTGGGGCTCATTGTTTTGGCAGTAACACACATGAACTTCATTAAAAGAACGGTGCAGGTCATAACCACACCACTACGTCAGAGCTCTTACGGCCTTCCCGCATCCTAAACACATGCCTGTAGGCCTCACCCCGAAGGTGTCTCCAGACACTTTCCCCAGAAGTGCTTGGAGTGGGAAGGAGGCTTCCCAATCTGGAGGCACTCTAGGACCTGGGTGGCTAGAGGCTCTTCCTGCAGAAACTGTCATCACCATGTCCCTTCTGACCCACAGAAACAAATGGTCTCCGGGTTTCCAGAGCGGTGCCAACCCAGTTTACAGAAACAGTCTCTGGTTTTCCTTGCCCCCTGCCCCCAGCTGAAAAGTGGCACCATGGATCAACAGGCTAATTAAAGCCACCTGCAAGTGCCGACATCCTATATGGGCACCAGTTTGTGTCCTGGCTGCTCTACTTCCTGTCCATCTCCCTGCTTGTGGTCTGGGAAAGAGGCAAAGGATGGCCTAAAGCCTTGGGACGCTGCACCTGTGTGGGAGACTTGGAAGAGGCTCCTGGCTTCAGTCTGGTTCAGCCTTTACCATTAGGATTATTTGGGGAGTGAACCAGCAGGTGGAAGACCTTCTCTATCTCTCCTTCTCTCTGTAAATCTTTCAAATAAAAATAAGCATTTTTTAAAAAGCCTGATATCAAGAAATGGGGACTGCTTTTAGCACCTTCTCCCCATCTTGCTCCCTCCAGACAGAAATGAAATTGAAGACGTAAGCTGAGATACTAACACCGTGCAACAATCGCTTAGAATCCTGTCACCCCAACACTGCGCACTTCCCAGGTCCCAAGTCAGTCATCTTTGCCTTCCTAGGACCTGGAAGGCTGCAGGACGGAGAGACTTGCCAAAGTGTGGCAATAATAATAATAATAATAATAATTGCAATCTGCTTTAAAAAAAAGGGAGGGGGTGGAAATGGATGAATAAATACGTGGGGAGTTCTGCCTTTTCTCACAAGCGTCGGTCCTGGGGCGCCACAGCCCGCCCAGAGGCTCAGGGAGCCCCAGTAACGGGGCACGCCCACCCACAGCAGAGAGCTTAGAAGCACTAGGGACAAAATGACCACGCCAGTCGCTGAGGAAGTCCTAGCCGAGTACTAAAGACTTAAACCTTGGTGTGTGTGTGTGTGGGGGGGGGGTTGAATTCCTTTGCAGGACTGCGTTTTAACGAAGGCAGCCCGGATCTACTCGCCTCACGCCAGGCCTGGCGAGGCGCACGAGGCTTGTCAGCCGGCTTGCCATCATCATCAGTCCGGAAATGTCGCGGCGTGGGGACAAGCTTCTGTCATGTTGGTCAAAGTGCGTCAGGCCGGCCGACGGTGCAGGACTGGTTTCCTGAGGAAACATTCCTCCTGGCTCCACGTCCTCCCACAACCCTGCCACCTCACACGTCTGGAGGTCTCCCCAAAACCCTGCATCGGCCCAGCACCACAGCGCCCGGGTGTCAGGACTGGAAACAGTCCCCCCCCCCTTTCACACACACACACACACACACCCCGGCTTCCCTCACCCGGATCGGGACCGGCCACTGCCACGCTGGACGCCCAGGTCCAGCCCCCTCCGGCAGCAGACGAGCCAATGAACGCCGAGTTCTCCCGTGCGTCCACGCAGCGCTGGCCAATCGCGGAGGGCCACGACCCTAGAAAGGCTGGGCGCGGCGCGGCTCGCCGCTTGGGCGGCGGCGGCGGCGAGCGCGCACTCCGGGGAGACTGACCAAGGGCCATGGTGGTGGTGGCAGCCGCACCGAGTCCGGCCGCCGGGGCTCCTAAAGTACTGCTTCTACCGGGTCAGCCCGCCGCCGCTGCCGCCGCCGCCGCGGGAGCCCCGGCCGGCCGGGCCCTGCCGCTCATGCTACCCGGTCAGAGAGGGGCCAGTCCGGAGGCGGCCGGTGAGGGGCCGCCTCAAGCGCGCAAGCGACAGCGCCTCACACACCTGAGCCCTGAGGAGAAGGCGCTGAGGAGGTGGGATCGGGAGCTGCGGGGAGGCCGGGGTCGGGGCGCTGACTGACTGCCCGGGGCGCTGGGGCGTCCTTGGCCTGCAGGGGTCCGGTGCCAGCGTGGCGCGGGGCGGGGCGGGGCGGGGCGGCTGGACCGACCGGATCCGCCGCGCTGGGTGGAGTCCAGGATTCTTCGGATCTATTTTTCTTTTACTTTCTCCCGATCTCTATTAGAAATGAACGGGGCTGGGATGATGCTAGCTGTCCGGTTTCCAGGCCCTTTGGCCGTGTGGCGACAGGCAGGTCGCTCAGCCCCTCTGGAGCCCATTAGGCTGCGCTGATTTTTTTTTGGAAGGGGCGCCGGGGTGAAATGAAAGAGCTGGTGAAGCGGGTGACAGGGATGGTAGTCTTCACTAGTCACAGGCAGGTACCTCGGCTGGGGGAGAGCAAGGCAGGCAGGAAATGTGGGTCAGTATTTGTGACCTTGCTTCCTCAAGTTTCTCCCGGAGTGGACGCCCTGGCCGCGTTCCTCAGGGCACTAGGAGGAGGGGTGTCAGCCAGCCCATCCCAGACCCAGTGGGGCTTGGGGAGGGTGGACGGGTGGACTTCGGTCTAGATTTGATCAGTCCAGGTGGGATTCTGCATTAGTTGGGGTGGAGGCCGGAAAGGGGGTGGGGTGGGGAATAGAGGAGGAACGTTCCTGATGATGCAACATGGACAGTGGTGGTGGTGGCGGCGGTGGTGGTGGTGGTGGTGCCAGGTTGGGCTACGTGGCGCGGAGGAGGCCCAGGCGGATGACGCCATCTGAGAGAGGACAGAGCCAGCCTTTCAGGCTGATTGACACAAGTCCGTGGGATTTGGTTTTGCCGTGCTTTTTTAAGGTTCTGTGAGGGGAAAGATCCTGCCTTGTGCCGTACATTCCGATGAAAACCCCAGCTGGCCAGGGTTTTCAAATAAAGATGGAAATAACCCTTGAGATGACTCAGTGTGTGCTGTACATTCCTTTTTCTACGCAGGAAACTGAAAAACAGAGTAGCAGCTCAGACTGCCAGAGACCGGAAGAAAGCTCGGATGAGTGAGCTGGAACAGCAAGTCGTGGATTTGGAAGAAGAGGTAAAACGAGACGAGGCCAAATGCTTTCCTCCATCAGGCGACTGTGTGCCGTGACTGTTCTGGCATTTACAGCCCACGCCAAGTTCTTTCAGTGCCCGTCAGAACGTTATAGAATGTGTACTTTAAAAGCTAAATTAGTGGAACTCAGGGTACAATAGGTAGCTGGGGGAGGCTTGTTGAGAGTAGAAATAATTGATTCTGGCAGATACAGTATCATCGCTTAAACTTTAGCTTGTTCCTGGCTTGGCCAAAAGGTCACTAAAGTTTCCCTTTATCTTCCGGCTGTTATCTAATCTTAAAGTTTGAGCCATTAACTGGTTCACTTATTTATTTATTTTAAGCTGTGTTATTTATTTAAAAGGCAGAGTCACAGAGAGAAAGAGAGCAGACGCCATCATCTGCTGGCGCACTTCCCATCTGGCCCAGAGCCGCTTCCAGGCCTCCCACGTGGCTGCAGGGGCGCCAGCACCTGGGCCACCTTCCACTGCTTTCCCAGACACCTAGGCACAGAGCTGGTTTACAGTTGGAGCAGCCGGGTGTCCATGTGGGCACTGCAGGTGGCTTACCTGGACCCGCCTCGGTGAGGGCCCCCTGGTAACTGGTTCTTAGAATGAACACAGTCATTCGGTACCAGATTGTTTTGGTTTTACAGTGTACTACTACCACTACTTTTAAAGATTTATTTTTATTATGTTTTTATTGGAAAGGCAGATATGCAGAGAGGAGAGACAGAGAGGAAGATCTTCCCGTCCGATAATTCACTCCTCAAGTGAGTGCAACGGCCGATGCTATGCCGATCCGAAGCCAGGAGCCTCTTCCGGGTCTCCCACGCGGGTGCAGGGTCCCAAAGCCTTGGGCCATCCTGGACTGCTTTCCCGGGCCACAGGCAGGGAGCTGGAAGGGAAGCGGGGCTGCCGGGATAGAACCGGCGCCCATATGGGATCCCGGGTGTGCAAGGTGAGGACCTTAACCACTTGTGCCACCGCGCCGGGCCCATACTACCACCACTTTTATTGCTCCTTGCCAGTTTGAAAAGAGGCTTTCTTCAAAACATCATGTATAGATGAAAGCCACATGTCTGTTGCTGAAGTCGTAGTAGCGCTTTGAAACATTCGTTTATTTTTGACCCCATAAAATAGCTCTTAAATAGCTTGTTTTTCATATGTATGGCCCATTCTGCTAATATCTGCCATAAGCAACTGCATAAGCCTAGGGTATCCAAACATTCCAGGAAAGGAAATCCTATTATAGTGTTTACAAGATGGAGTCCCTCATGGGACCGGCATGGTTTCTGCTCCTGTGATGTTGCCGTTCCAGAGGCATGCAGGTTTTAGTCCTGGCTGCTCTGCTTTTCATACAGCTCCCTGTCAATGAGTCTGGGAAGGCAGCAGGTGATGGTCCAAGTCCTTGGGTTTCTGCCGCCTCTGTGGGAGGCCTGGATGGAGTTCTAGGCTCCTGGCTTTAGCTGCAGCTGCCACCATTTGCGGGGTGCATCAGCAGAGGAAGGATTTATTTTCCTTTTTCAGCCTACCTTTCAAATAATTTTTTAAGAAATGTGGATTCTAGGGCCCGGCGCGGTGGCACAAGTGGTTAAAGGTCCTCGCCTTGCACGCCCGGGATCCCATATGGGCGCCGGTTCTAATCCCGGCAGCCCCGCTTCCCTTCCAGCTCCCTGCCTGTGGCCTGGGAAAGCAGTCGAGGACGTCCCAAAGCTTTGGGAACCTGCACCCGCGTGGGAGACCCGGAAGAGGCTCCTGGCTTCGGATCGGCATAGTATCGGCCCGTTGCGCTCACTTGGGGAGTGAATCATCGGACGGAAGATCTTCCTCTCTGTCTCTCCTCTCTGTATATCCGCCTTTCCAATGATAAAATAATAAAAATAAATCTTTAAAAAAAAAAAAAAGGAAATGTGGATTCTAGGACCTGGTGCGGTAGCCTAGCAGCTAAAGTCCTTGCCTTGAATGCGCTGGGATCCCATATGCGCGCTGGTTCTAATCCCTGGGGCTCTGCTTCCCATCCAGCTTAAAGATTTATTATTTTTTCATTGGAAAGGCAGATATACAGAGAGGAGAGACAGAGAGGAAGATCTTCCGTCCGATGATTCACTCCCCAAGTGAGCCATAACGGCCGATACTATGCCGATCCGAAGCCAGGAGCCTCTTCCGGGTCTCCCACACAGGTGCAGGGTCCCAAAGCTTTGGGCCGTCCTCGACTGCTTTCCCGGGCCACAGGCAGGGAGCTGGAAGGGAAGTGGGGCTGCCGGGATAGAACCGGCGCCCATATGGGATCCCGGGCGTGCAAGGCGAGGACCTTAACCACTGCGCTAAAAAAAGTGTGGATTCTTAAATGGAAACATTTGATGTTTTGCCTCTTTCTTCCAGAACCAAAAGCTTCTGCTAGAAAACCAGCTTTTACGAGAGAAAACGAATGGCCTTGTCATTGAGAACCAAGAGTTACGGCAACGCTTGGGGATGGATGCCCTGGGTACTGAAGAGGAGGCGGAGGCCAAGGTAAATGATCTGGATGTTTGTTGTCCTCTGTAAGAACTGGATCCAAGTGGTTTATGTGCACACTCTGGCCCTCTGATCAAAAATGTTCTTGAAGCTTTTTTTGGTTTTAAGATGTCTTCATGCAGGCAAGGTAGTTTTGTGTGTGTGTGTGTTTTGTTTTAATTCGGTTCTTATGACATTTAATGAAGTCCTAATAATCAACATTAGTGACATGGCTGTCTTAGAGCAAGTCCTGACAAGCATCAATAGCAAACAAGATGTTCTCAGAGAGAAACATTAGGGAAACCAGAGTAGGTGTCAGCCAGGCTGGACTGAAGTTTGAATGCTACCACTTGATAGTTCTTTGGCAACTATGGATGAGTAGGGGAAGGAGTCACTCTCACAGCGACATCCCTGATAAAAGGTCAATGCATGGGTGTCGTTTAATCTATGGATTATGGCAAATTTGATGACAACACCAAACTGACATTAGTGCCAGGAGAAATTTTAAATTATTATTCAGGGCCCGGCGCAGTGGCCTAGTGGCTAAAAATCCTTGCCTTGAATGCTCCGGGATCCAATATGGATGCTGGTTCTAATCCCAGCAGCTCCACTTCCCATCCAGCTCCCTGCTTGTGGCCTGGGAGGACAGTCGCGAGGACAGCCCGAGGCCTTGGGACCCTGCACCCATGTGGGAGACCTGGAGGAGGTTCCTGGCTCCTGGCTCCAGATTGGCAAAAATACTGGCCGTTGCATTCACTTGGGGAGTGAATCATTGGACGGAAGATCTTCCTCTCTGTCTCTCCTCCTCTCTGTGTATTTGACTTTGCAATAAATAAATAAATCTTGAAAAAAATAAATAGTTATTCAAGAAAAATTCTAGGCTTAACATCATTACAGAACTTAATTTTTTTTTCAAAGAATTATTTATTTCTGTTGGAAAGGCAGATTTACAGAGAGAGAGAGACACACAGAGAGAGGTTTTCCTGTCTATTAGTTCACACCCCAAATGACTGCAACAGCCAGAGGTGAGCTGATCCAAGGTCAGGAGCCAGGAGCTTCTTCTGAGTCTCCCACATGGGTGCAGGGTCCCAAGGCTTTGGGCCATGTTTAGCTGCTCTCCCAGGCCACAAGCAGGGAGCTGGATGGGAAGTGGAGCATCTGGGATAAAAACCACTGACAGCCATAGAGGTTGCTGGGGATGCAGGCAGAGGCTTAACATAGTACGCCATGGTGACAGCTCCAGAAAAAAAAGAATTATTTGAAAGGCAAATTTACAGATAGAGAGAGAAATAGGAAAGCTTCCATACTCTGGTTCACCACCTAAATGACCACAATACCCTGGTTTGGGCCAGGCAAAAGTCAGCACCTTGGAACTCCATCCAGGTCTCCCACATGACTGTAAGGGCCCGAGCACCCGGGCCATCTTGTCCTGTTCTGCCTGTGCTTTAGCAGAGCTGGATTGGAAGCAGAACAGCTGGGACCCACATGGCATGCTGGTACTGCAGGCGCTGGCCTAACTTGCCGTGCCACAGCACCAGCCCTTCTAGTACTTTATTCATGAGAAGACTATTATTGAGAATGTCATGAAGCTGTCACTTACCAATCCCATGTAAATCTTTGCTCTGGGAAAGCATTTTTCACTTCATAGAAAATGACAATGCAGTTTCTTTTCTGATCCCCTGATGAAGGAAATGAAAAGCAACCTTGCTAAGGAAAAGACTTTGACACTAGCTTCTTGAAAACCGAGCATGCCTGGGGAGGCTGTGCCCGGGGGGCTTCCTGCCGAGTACTCACTGTGTGCTTCCTACCAGGGGAATGGAGTGAGGCCAGTGGCCGGGTCTGCTGAGTCCGCAGCACTCAGACTACGTGCACCTCTGCAGCAGGTGCAGGCCCAGTTGTCACCCCTCCACATCATCTCCCCGTGGATCTTGACAGCGTGGACTCTTCAGACTCTGAGGTAGGCATCCTTCCGACTTCCCAAGTAGCTGTGTCACCAGACTAGTGAAGCCAGAAGTTGATTTTTGCTGACAGTGTTCTTAGTTCCAGCTGATGCAAAACAGCACAGTGTAAATAATTGGGCGAGGGAGTGGGCAGGGAGGTCCCCTTAAGGTCATCCGAGTGCATAATGAGCAGTTTACTTTTTACGGGACTAGTACGGGGTACTCTGGCTCGATTCTCCAGTGGATTCTGACATGCTATGCTCACTCAATTTTTGCGTCTTGCAGTCTGATATCCTGTTGGGCATTCTGGACAACTTGGACCCAGTCATGTTCCTCAAGTGTCCTTCTCCAGAATCGGCATCTCCCAGTCTGGAGGAAGTCCCACAAATCTACCCAGAAGAACCCAGTTCCTTACCAGCCTCCCTTCCTCTGTCAGTGGGGACGTCATCAGCTAAGCTGGAAGCCATTAATGAACTAATTCGTTTTGACCACGTCTATACCAAGCCTCTGGTCTTAGAGATACCCTCGGAGACAGAGAGCCAACCTAATGTGGTAGTGAAAATCGAGGAAGCACCTGTCAGCCCCTCAGAGAACGATCCCTCTGAGTTCATTGTCTCTGTAAAGGAAGAACCTAGAGAAGATGACTTCATTCCAGAGCTGGGCATCTCCAATCTGCTTTCGTCCAGCCACTGCCTGAAGCCATCCTCCTGCCTGTTGGATGCCTATAGTGACTGTGGATACGAGGGCCTCCCTTCCCCGTTCAGCACCGTGTCCTCTCCCCTCGGTGTAAACCACTCTTGGGAGGACACCTTTGCCAATGAACTCTTTCCCCAGCTGATCAGTGTCTAAGAAGTGATCCAGTACTGTTGTCCCTGTCCCTTGACTATCCCACTGCCTGGAGTAGAGCAAACAAACTAGTGTCTGTGCTTCATTTAAAAAGCCGAAGTAGAGGCTGCAGAACTTCCCCGAATGCATTTGTTCAGTTCTCATAGACGAGCCCAAGAATTGTCTCTTCACATCCAGCAGTCCAAGGGCCTCAGGAACAGGTTCTGAGCTATAGATTTGGAGGTTTTATTTCAGGGGCAGTGGCTTGGCCTTCAGTACTTCTGTCAGTCTCCCTAACGGACTTCCCAGATCCACTGGGAAGTGGGAATGTCTGAAAATGGACTTTGAACTTAGGATTGGCCCGTGTCGTATCTCTCCCCGCCTCCTTCTCAGCATCCCAGGCTTGCCTCCGATTTTAGGCCCTTTAGTTTGCTTCTGCAAGCAGAGATCACCTGCCTGAGGGGGCTTCAAGTAAAGATCAAGAATCTTTTGTAAAATTACTGAAATTTACTATGTAAATGCTTTATGAAATCTTTCCCTGCTAGTATAGCTTCTGGAAGGTGCTTTTTCCATTTATTTAAAACTACCCATGCAATTAAAAAGTGCAGTGCAGCATTCTTGCTCTTGGATTTCTTCTAAGGCTCTGAAGTTTCACCTTTTTTTTTTTTTTCTCTAGCTGGTTCACTGTTTGCCATTTATCCCACAAAACTGAGCGTGCAAATTTTCACAGCAACTGAATTTTTCTGCTTGAGTTAATACCTACCTCAATTCCCGGCTGCTGTATGCTATGTAATCTACTATTTGAGCAATTACCTGAGACAATTTCTTCAGGCTAATGGACCACTACCACAACTGGCAGGGCTAGAACCACTACGGTTATAAAAATTATGAGGTCATACCCTCAATGCCACTACCGTGGGGAATAAGAGCATTTTCTAGGCTCAGATTTCCCCGTGTTCAGCTGCCACTGATGAGCTGCAGATATACCAACACTTATTATCCACAAGGAGGGATAGAAATATCTGAAGGCTGCTGAAGGGCTTCAGAACTATGATGTGTTACAAGGGTTTAGTATGTGAGAGGCACTGTCCTAATCACTTGAAAGCTAGTTTTTATATCCTAGAATACTTGGGAAGAATTTTCACCTATTTAATCGAGCTGTTAAAAGAACTACAAACATGAATACAACCCTGAAACTAGATAAGCTCCATAACCCCCATTGTCCCTTATCACATATCTTTTCTTTGAGAATCCTATGGGATACTAAAGGACATTTTCTACCCATACAGCATTCAGATGATGTCTTCCCAAGATTACCTGTAGGGAGGTCAAGAGAACGGACCACAGGAGGCTGTAGTTTAAGCCAAGGCCAGGGAATGCCTTCAGCATGGTGACTAGAGGTGGGTCTGTGAACCTGTTTCAAAGTTACTCACCCTAAGATCCAGCTGCTGATGGCTGAGCCCACAGCAATAGCCTTGCTTAGGTGCTGAAGTTTCTCAATTGTAAATGTAAGGATGACACCCTGCTGTCAGTAACATTGACCTGAAAACTAATGCGGGGTTACCAGTCTATTTAGGGATTGTGGAAGCAGGTGTAATTATAGACGCATTTTAGCCTCCCATCATAATAAGCAGGTTGAAGCTGAGGCTCAAGTAATTTCCATTCAATGACATCACATGAAAGAGGCAGCTGTACGAACAGGAGGGGACATATGTGACCTATATAGACTATGGGGTTTTCATTTCCTGCACAGATGGGTGAAAATTGCCAAATACTATGCTTGGCCTTGAGAGAACACCTGCCATCCAGGGACATTTTCATATCGAAACACTCAATTGCCTGGTTAGAACTAAAAATCATGATCGTTCTGTAAAAACCAAACCAAGATCTCCTTTAAACACGGATGACCACACATCTTGATAACCCTCATCCACGTCTGCCTCCTTGCTTTCCCACCAGCTGCAGACAAAGTAGGACCACAGGTGTAAGAGTAATGCCCACTTCATTTATGGTATTAGTTCAATTTGAGTCACCTAAAAACTGAATTACTACTCCTTGGATTCCTAAAACTCAAGAGATAAGCAGATCATCTTGTTATGCCCCAGTTACTGAGACACTATTGTCTTGCTGAAGCTCAGGTGTAAGCACTGTTGTCACTGCACCTCCTCCTGTCTAAAATGCCACTGTATTAACACAAGAGTTGAACTACACTGGCATACACAAAGCATAACCCTTCCAGGAATTTATTGTTAGCCTGAGCCACACTTTGGAATATCTTGCTCACCAAGATCTCACATCTACACAAACATCTTACGACTTCACTCTCTAAAACTAGTGGAAAGAACACTGGACTAGAAAATGTGGATTATAATACTACAGTTATTATCCACTTAGCTGGTTCCCATATCTATACAGTAGGTAAAGTTTTAGCTATAGTTTCTAAATTTGCATTAAAAAGAAAAAAAAATCCTTTTATTAAACTGCAGTCCAAATGTGCAATCTCCATTTATTCCTGCAGGCAACACTGCCACCCAGTGACCTATGTGGGGCACTGCCGTACAGTGACCAAGCTGGCCACTTTGAGGAAGGCAACATCAACCTGGGATTTTCTCTTTCCCCCATTTTTAAAGGTCTCCCACCTCCTCCTGGGAATTGTAACTAACAATTTCCAACTCCACATCTGAACTTTTTTTGTTTATTTACTTTTTATTGGAAAGGCAGATCTGATTTACAGAGAGAAGGAGAGACAGAAAGATCTTCCATCCGCTGTTTCACTTCCCGAGCAGCTGTAATGGCCAGAGCTGAGCTGATCTTATCTGAAGCCAAGAGCCAGGAGCTTCTTCCAGGTCTCCCATGTGGATGCAGGTGCTTTCCAAACCACAAGCAGCACTGGACCCCATATCTCAACATTTTTTTTTTTTTAATTGGAAAGGCGCATATACACAGAGAAGAGACAGAGAGGAAGATCTTCCGTCCGATGATTCACTCCCCAAGTGAGCGCAACGGGTCGATACTATGCCAATCCGAAGCCAGGAGCCTCTTCCGGGTCTCCCACGCGGGTGCAGGGTCCCAAAGCTTTGGGCCGTCCTCGACTGCTTTCCCAGGCCACAGGCAGGGAGCTGGAAGGGAAGCGGGGCTGCCGGGATTAGAACCGGCGCCCATATGGGATCCCGGGCATGCAAGGCGAGGACCTTTAACCACTGCACCACCGCGCCGGGCCCTCTCATTTTTTTCTTAAAGATTTATTTATTTTTATTGAAAAGGCAGATATACTAAGAGAAGGAGAGAGAGATTTTTCCATCCACTGGTTCACTCCCCAAGTGGCCACAATTTCCAGAACCGAGTCGATTCAAAGCTCAGAGCCTCCTCCAGGTCTCCCACGCAGGTGCAGAGTCTCAAGGCTTTGGGCCGTCCTCGACTGCTTTCCCAGGCCACAAGCAGGGAGCTGATGGGAAGTGGAGCAGCTGGGATATGAACCAGTGCCCATATGGGATCCTGGCATATGCAAGGTGAGGACTTTAGCCACTTTGCTACCGTGTCTGCAATATAGTCTGTCTATTTGAGCAAATCTGTTATAAAACTTACCTTTAACCCAATCAGGTCATCTCTTTAGGATAAAAATAAGTCCTCTACTGATACGAATGTTGTTTAACTACAAGTTAGAAGCAAAGATAGAATCAATTTCATTTACAAAAGTACATGAATACAAGCATCTCAAAAGTCCAAAACATTTAAGAAATTTTATTGAAAATAGAGAAACACCAAATTCTCAACTTAAAAAACTGACAGCAAATCTTCCAGACCTTTCCCCGTACTACACCATTCGTTTCACTATCAAAAAAGAAAAACCAAGTTCTAGATCCAAAATACCAAATAAACCAGTTGATAAACATTCTTTTCGTGGTCCTAACCCCTACTCTAGTTTGCTAAATTATACATTTGTACCTTTTCAAGAAAAAGTATGTTTAAACAAAACGATTAATATTTGTGAGAACTGGACTTGCTTTCTTCATATCAAGACCCAAACCACACGCACTCTACTCAAACTCAGAGAAAATACACATTTGTTCTTTAAAGCTCATCCGCTTTAGGTAATTTTATCTTTTCACACATTAGCATAACAAGCCAATGTTTGATCCATGCTGCAAAAGCTGTACAAAATGAAAACATCTGTTAAGTCCCTAGGGAAACCTTGAGGCAAAAACCAAAAGCCTTTCTTCCTGGGGGTTGGGGGGTGGGTAGAGAGGGGGCGGGAGAATGCAGAGGCCTTGGGACTGGGGAGACGGCTCAGATGAGGCAGCACCAAAGGACGGAGACAATGCTAGTACATTAGCAAGGTAAAGTTCAGAAAGGAGCATCGAACGTCCACTTTTCCTGCAGAAATCGTCAGCTCCTAGAACTAGATCTGTCAGAGTCGGCTGATGGGGACTGACTCTCTCCTGGGTTTATTATTCGGATCAGAGCCTTTTGGGGGGCTTATCCTTCTTCTCATGACTGACCCTTCTGACAAGAGCTCATCCTAGTAATTCCAACACGAGATCATCTTGGTGTGTTTTGGCTCTTTTCTTTGGAAAGCTTCCTTTCCACCCTAACACCAGAACTAACTCCAAACGAAGTCCCTTCTGTGTTTTTTGGGCTGTACCAGATCACTTTTATAGAAATGGAGACTTCTTTAAGGCTACATTTTTGACAAGTTGGTCCCATTAAACAATGACATCAAGGCAGGAGTTTTTCACATGGCATGAATCAAACACTTGCGCGTTTCAGAAGAATACAGTTTACATTCATCTCTGAGATTAAGAAACTATTCGCTGGTTTCCAACTGGTTTCAATACTGTTTTAAAGTTTGAATAATTTTACTGCGTAGACATTAAATAATGTTTAAATATTAAACATGAAATCTTTTCCTGACTATTTTAGACAGAAATATAAAAAGCAGAACAGTGGGCGAAGCAAGAAGCAGTCCAACAAGCAGACTGGAGACTTCTCCGCCATCTGTAACAAGAGGAGGGCTTTCAGCACGGGTTACCAAGACGCCTGGCGGCTGATTTCCAATCATTCACCTCTACCTGGCACATGCCAGGTATTCCTACAAAAAGTATCTGCTTCCTACCAAGGAGGAAGAAACCCAGGAAACAAAAATGACTGGGGCATGCCGGCCGTGCGGTAAGAGGGTCGGGGACAACACTCACCACTCCTGTAAGTTAATAGCTTCCAGTGGTCATTCCACAGCAATAAAGGAATTCTCGTTTTTCTTTGCACTGTGAGTCCTTGCCACCCGGAAGAGTTCTTCCTGAGAAATAAATCCTGGCTATCCCCGGAGGATGCCTGGGGCCTGATGCACTCGTGCCTGCGCGCTCGCGGGAGAACTGCGCTGTTCAGTTTAGGTGCCAAACTGGCTGTTCCAGTAAATCCCAATGTCACTTGCCCGTAGATTCTCAGTTAATTATTCCCTATTTTCAGAATTGACATTTAAAAATTCGACTTACTTAAACAAGTGGCAAAGTTGTTAGAAAATACAGAAACGTTCAACTGTTGGTTTGGCAGGCACAGCACTTTCCTTACGACTAAAGGACGCTTCTCTCCTAGGCAACTTGCAGATGGGTTACTTCGCCATCTTTTAAACTATCCCTCAAAGTTAATCAAGCTGTAAACATTATGGAGTAATGGGGCTGTCACTAATGCAAGGGAAGCTAAGGAGCAACAGCAGCACAAGAAGAAACAAAAGCAAGCCTTAGGGGAAAAAAAAAAACCAAAAAAAAACCTAATTTCATGTTTCCCTTGCATTTTCAGAGGGAAAGAGGAAACTGTACAACTATTTAACTATTTAACTGCTATTTAACTGCTGCAGCTGTATGTATTAAGTTGGCAACTACTATACGAGTTTCGTGGCCTCGGGAACATTTCTCAGCAAGAAGCTTAGGGCCCTGACATTTTTTTCCCTCCTTGTTTGTAATCATGGACAGTCACCACTAAAAGACAGGTCAGATCTGCAGACTAAATTGTGACTCGACTCTCAGGGTAGAGTTTCATCAACAGCATCCTTCTTGACCATCTTTTTCAACTCAAGGAGAATCATCTTCAAGTATCTGAATGCTTTAGATAAAGTGACAGATAACCAAAGTCGGCCTTACATACAGAGCTTCCATACTTGCTTTTGAAGAGGCTATCATCTAACATTTCCTTTAAAAAGTCCCCTAGAAAACTGCTTTTCTTTTTCAGACAAGCTTCCTTGGCAAAAAAAAAAAAAAAAAAAAAAAAAAAAAATCTATAAATGGTTACCCATAATGAGAGTCCCACCCCAAATCACAGGTGGACATATTTTTACACCCGTTTCATAAAATTTCTGAGTCCTTAGATAGGCAGATAGGCTCAAGACGGAACACAGAGCCCTCTAGATTCTGGTGTTAGTATAGAAAATGGTTTCTAGAGTTCCATTTCTTCCTCTGTGTTAGCAGCTATCTCCAAACTACTGTAGAGCGGCATGCCTGCTTGCTGGGGCTCTGAGAACAGCTCAGTTCTCTGAGGGAAGGCAGTGCCAGCGGCTGAATGCTTTGTCTTGCTCTCTCCCGTGTAGTTCTTAGCATTAGACAATGGCTTTGGCTTATCAGAAAGGAGTTCTGGGAGAGGCTTCCAGAGTACAAGCTCCATGGAAGGACGGCTCCTAAGAGAGAAAATACAGGATATTATCCAAACTTTTAGAACACGGAAATAAAAAGCTTTGTGTGGAAAAGCTAATAACTTCTACCTAATATCACATGGTTAAAACCAGATGGCATCTGGAGCCAGCGTTGTGCCGTGGTAGATTATGCCTCTGCCTCTGATGCAGGATTCTCATATGGGATGCAAATGCGCCTGGGAAAGCAGCTGAAGACAGCCCAAGTACTTGTAACCCTGCACCCATGTGGGAGATCCAGAAGCAGCTCTGGTGGGCTCCTGGCTTCTGCACCAGACATTTAGGAAGAGAACCAATGGATGGAAGACCCATCTGTCTTCTCTCTGTAACTCTGCCTTTAAAACAATAAATCTAAATAAATCTTGGGGCGGGGGGAGAATGGCATCAAAATAGAAATTTATGACAATGTTAAGTGATTTTTATAAAAACCAAATATATAAAATTTTACAGTTCTCTTATGTATTTGAAGCCAAACCAACTGGTTATATTGGTGTCTAGAAGCGGTATAAACACCCTACAATGAATATACCCTTCTTTCAGTGTACAAACTCGTTCGGTTTACTCTGCAAATGGTGGCAACAACTGAGATAAGGCCAGGCCAAAGCCAGACAAGAGTGCCCAGCAGGTCTCCCAGGTGGGCAGAGAAGTCCAGAAACTGAGCCATCTTCCACTGTTTTCCCAGGCCATTAGCAGGAAGCTGGATCAGAAGTGGTACAGTCAGGACTTGAACTGGCTTGAACGGGTAGCAGTGCAAATGCTATGCCTCAACACCAGTCCAAACTTTAAAAGAAAAAAATCTTGCTACTACCAGATGTGGTAACTATCTTGTACTAAATCAATCCAAATGAAAATAAAGCATTGCACAAACATACCAAGATGCTTGGCACATTAATAGAGTATAATGCTTTGCAGTTATGCCCAACTGAATAGCTCTCTCACATACATACCCCTCCCACCTCACAGTAGTGACAGCTTCTGGACCCCAAACAAGTAAAGGAACACCCCAAAGACTAGTTTCTGGAAAACTCTGCTCCACTTCCGGCTGGATGGCAACCTGACCTGCCTATTTTTGGCCAAACTGTTCATCTGCCCTCAGAGCTGGGTAGTTAGTTAACAGCTAGGGAGCTTAGGCAGAACTGGAAGTCTCTGTGTAGAAATCACTCCCGTAGTGACCACAGACAATAATGCCTTAACTGCTTGGTATCACTGGACAGGTATCCTGAGAGACTTGTCAAGTATCTGACATTTACTATCTACCAAGAATTCTTTTCTAGGAATACCTAAATGGCACTTTACAAATTGCTCACCATTTCATAGGATGGATAACAGCAACCCAAGACCACCCAGGCCTAGGAATACAGGAGTATAGGGCTAATCGTTAGTTCTTAGGGCCACCAGCCCCAGCCCATTTTGCCTTTTAGGTTCTTGTGCTTGCTTTTCTATTTCCCCTCTTGTCTTCCACTGCAGTCACTGGTTTCTACAGACTGTCCTGTGTTCATTTGTTTCCACTAATGAACCAGGAAACTACATGACTGAGCTCATTAAACTGTGCTTAAAGTGAAGAGTAAAACACCCGTGCTGGAAGCCCGACGGGGCTATGCTGAGAGCCAAGCATACGAACTCTGGTCTACGGCCTGTGTGCTAACTATGCTCGCTGCTCTGGTCCTTTGTTTCCCAGGTCTCAATGCAGTTTTTAGATAACTGAAGAACCACGGGGTGAGCAGGCAAGGCAGCCACTGCCCCATACTTCCAACTCCCATGCCTACATGCCACATGCTTTCACTTGCCTCGTGATCAAGAGATGAACAGTTCATCAGGACAGGGACAGAAAACACTGGTTTTCCCTCCAAGATATAATTAATTAAACAAAACTCGGGTACCAAACTCACATGGACTCAATCATCTTCTTTGTAAAGACTTCATCAAGTTCCCTCTTCAAGCCTGTCTTCATGGTGTCAGAAAGGACAAGACTGGGCAGGTGGTTAACATTTCTGTCGGATTCAACTTCTTCATCCTCATCAATTATCCTAAGAAATTAATGCAGCAGAAACAAAGCAAGAATAAGTCATGAAGCTGTTCTGAGCCAGGCAGGCAGTCTGTTACTACAGGGGCTGGGAAGCCCGTAGTCATCGTGTCAGTCCCAGCCAGTACCATGAAGAACACCCAGCTTCTTCCATGCCAGCTCATGATGTGCTTCAGTCTCTTCCACCATCAAGACGCCACAATGAACAAGCACATGTGGGTCTTTATGTAGAGAGTCTGTCAAACTTTCAGAGGTCACTATGTGCATGGAACCCCAGACTCTACCCCGTCTGTACATTCAATCAGAGCATCATCATCATCTACCCACTGAGGACCAAGACCAAACTGGAACGTGCTGCCCTGGTTCACTGCTTCAATCTCATTAAGTAAATCCTGATCCCATTCTTGCAGTGCTACCTGTGTCTCTGTTTTGAATTCAACTCCTAGGCCAAGACAAGAACTCTGGAATCAATCTAACTGGGGGCTCCCTTTTATCCCATGATGAGATTATATCTAAACAAGGGTGTTCTGCACAGTTTTCTGTCTTGTATTTCATAGATCTGTAAGAACACACTTGAAGAGAGTACACTTTGAGCCCTCCCTGAGAAGCACATGGAATCACCAAATGAGCACGTACCTGTCCTCCAGCTCCTGAAGCCTCCTTCGGGCCACATCACACTGGGCTTCCGCGCTCGTCTCATCCATCTCTTCACAAACCACATCCACCATGCCAGGCACAGAGAGGGCACCAGTGCACGGACTGACTCCGGGGCCCCGCACGTTCTGCTGCGCACACAGAATCCAGTCATCAGGCCCGGCATGGAGTGCTGCCTCGGTCAGTCTTTTTTTCCTTACTGGACAACTAGAGAAGAAAAAAGTAAGACCATGCGATGAGAACTCAAATAAAACCCAAACGTCTGTTATGTGCTCTGAATCACATCAACATATGATGAAAATTAGCCTTAAAAAAAAAAAAGAATTATTTTTATTGGAAAGGCAGATTTACAAAGAGAAAAATATTCTATCTGCTGATTCACTCCCCAAGTGGACGCAATGGCCAGAACTGAGCTGATCTGAAGAGAAGAGTCAGGAGCTTCTTCTGGGTCTCCCACGGTGGGTGCACGGTCCCAAAGCCTTGGGCCATTCTCCACTGCTTTCCCAGGCCACAAGCAGGGAGCTGGATGCGAAACGCGGCAGCCAGGATTAGAACCGGCGCCCATATGGGATCCTGGTGCATGCAAGACAAGGACTTTAGCCACTAGGCTACTGCACCAGACCCAAAAATTTAGCTTTCTTGTGATCCACTAGAATTACAACTTGGAAAATCATGCAAGTCCCCATCATTCTCACAGTCTCCTGAACATGTTTTCAAAATTCTACTAATCATTGCCAAATTAGGCTGTAAATGCAAAATAGTCTCTTTAGATTTTAAAGTTAAAATGACATTCCTATTTATTACACTCTGGAGAGGTCAAGCATGAAGTAAAGAAAAAAACTGGGCTCAGTGTAATGGCTCAACTGGTTAATCCTCCTCCTTCAAGTGCCAGGATCCTATATGTGTATCAGTCTGTGTTCCGGCTGCTCCACTTCCCATCCAGCTCCCTGCCTGTGGCCTGGGAGAGCAGCAGAGAACGGCCCAAAGCCTTGGGACCCTGCAATCACCCGGAAGAAACTCGTGACTCCTGGCTTCAGATTGGCTTAGCTCAGATAGTTGCGGTCACTGGGGAGTGAACCAGTGGAGAGGGTATCTTTCTGTCTCTTCTCTCTGTAAATCTGTCATTCCGATATAAATAAATAAATGCATACATCTATCTTAACATCTCCTCCCAGAAAAAAAAAAAAAGAGAACACAAAAATCTCAATGCTGCCATTCAGCTCCAATTCTATTTCACCCAGAGCTATTACAGCATCACATGCAGTGGACAGACTGGGGAGCTGGTCTGGCAGCCAAACTTGATTTGTCCAGGACACAAACACGTGGCTCATCAGATGTGTTCCAGGAGCTGCAGGGGCAGCTGGTGTCACTCACCCATTTCTTGGTCTCCTCCAAAATGTCAGACTGTCATTTGGCTCTAGCGGGCCCCAACCAAGAAAGCAATCCGTTTTTATACTGCCTTGCAACATGTTCCATTTCCTGGAAAAATTCGTACTTCAAAGCTGCCCTGTGATTCATCAAAGCCGAATTCTTTCTTTGGCAGTCTTGGAAACAAGAACCTAGAAAACTACACGGGCTCCTCCCAGTCCTGCCTTACTAGGGATGAGGGCACCCCAAGGCTCCTGCACCCTGCTGACCTGTAGGCCATTTCCTCTAAATCCTCCTGACTCCTTGGGGGAGTCACTTGTTCCAGCCAGTGCCATTAACTGGTTTTGCAAGCACCACAAGGGAAGCTATCAGAATCAAGTTAATCAGATGAGAGCTTGTCTTCCATCTAAGTATTTAAACCAAAACTACATTATTGCTGGATATCAGCAAGCACAGCCTCAGGACCAGAATACAACTCTGTAAACATGAAAACAAACAAACAAACAAACAAAAATCTCATCACTGGTTACCACAGTCCTGATGGTCTAAGCTGAGATCCAAGGGCAGCAGTATCTTTTTAAGGGGAAATTTGCATACTATGTTAAGAATGTGTTGGGCTCCATGAGTGCTTCCCCCTTCAAGTGCCAGGATCCTGCTTGTGGCCCGGGAAAGCAGAAGAGGATGGCCTCTGCAAAGCCTTGGGACCCAGCACCTGCGTGGGAGACCCGAAGCAGCTCCTGGCTTTGGATTGGCTCAGCTCCGGCCATTGAGGCCACTTGGGGAGTGAACCAGTGGATGGAAGATCTTCTTCTCTGTGATGCTGCCTTTTCAATAAAAACAACTAAATCTTAAAAATAAATAAATAAATAAATCTAACTGCAATAGGTAATTTCCTAGCACATCTAAACATTTAACTATAAAATTGTGTATAAGCACTGGGTTCTGATATCCAAAAGCAAGATTCAACTATTGCATGCCTGTAGGTCCACCTTGCGAATAATTAGAGACCAGTAACCTTCCCTCCCCTACCCATATTGGGACACACATCTGGCTCGGATGCCCAAAGCTCGTCACGGTGCTTCAGCTCCACTCTCAGGCTCACACCCAGGGAGACATCCAGGGGATGGTTCAAGTTCCCTGTCATCCACGAGGGAAAGGCTAACTGAATTCCTGGCTCCTGGTTTCAACCCGACCCAGTTACACACGTAACACACGTTGCCTGTTACACACGTTTGTGGAATGAACCAGATGAAAGATTTTGGTCTCTGCTTTTCAAATAAAAACAGATATGAGCAAAACAAATCTAAAGACTTATTTAATTGAAAGGCAGAATTACAGTGAGGAGAAAGACAAGAGATATTTTTTCATCTGCTTGTTCACTCTCCAAATGGCAATGGACAGAGCTGGGCCAACCCGAAACCGGAAGTATAAAACTTTACCTGAGTCTCCCACATGGGCACAGGGACTCAGAATTAGGGTCATCGGCTGCCGCTTCCCTATGCACATTATCAAGGAGTCACACCGAAGTGGAACAGCTAGGACTCAAACTAGTACCCGCATGGGATTCTGGCATTATAGATGGCAGCTTATCATGCTATAGCACAAGACCAGCACCCATAATAAACATTACTGGGTCCAGTGGTTTTAAATTAAGGCAACTTCGAAATACACTGCTTGATATTCTATGTATCAAGAATTTTAGAAAACCAAGTTTCTGAATCAGTGTTGTAGCATAGTAGGGAAAGCCAGCTCCTGCAATGCTGCCATCCCATAATGGCACTGGTTCTCAGCTGTTTATTTCTCTTATTTTAAAGATTTATTTATTTATTATTTGGAAAGACAGATAAACTCCTGGCTCCCAGGTAGCTCAGTCCTGGTCACTGGGATCAACTGCGGAGTGAACAAACAAATGTTAAGATTCACTAACTCTTTCAAACAAATAAATAAAGCTTTCAAAAAAGAACAAGAAAAAATCAAGCTTTTGACATTACAAAAGCTAAAGCTGAGAGCCCAGCATGATCGCCCAATGGCGAAATCCTTGCACTACACATGCGATTGTGTCCTGGCTGCTCCACTTGCAGCTCCCTCTTGTGGCCTGAGAAAGCAATGGAAGATGGCCCAAACCTTGGTACTCTGTATTCATGTGGGAGACCCAACAGAAGCTCCTGGCTCCTGGTTTCAGATCAGCTCAGCTCTGGCTGTTGCGGCCATTTGGGAAGTGAATGAATGGATGGGAGATCTTCTTCTGTCTCTCTTTCTCTCTGTAAATCTGCCTTTTCAATAAAAATAAATAAATTTTAAAAAGTCAAAATTGAAAGACAAAAGGACAAACTTAAGGAAAAGATTTGCAACACACGTAATAACCGCTGACTTCCTTATAAACCACTGAAATGACAAAGCAATAAAAATGTGCAGAAACAATTCATATAAATTCATACAAAATTAAACAATAATGGCTTAAACACCAAGATTTCACTACTACTTCTAATAACACATATAAGCTGAAACAGTAAACCAACTTCTCTCAGCTTTTTAACTACAGAAACCTACACATAAAAAAAACTTGGTCTAGCAGTTAAGATATCTGAATATCCCTCCTAATGAACCCAAGCTTCAGATGGGTTCAACTCTGGCTGCTGTGGCCATCTGGGGAGTGAATCATCAGATAGAAGATCTTCCTCTTTGTCTCTCCTCCTCTGTATATCTGACTTTGCAATAAAGATAAATAAATCTTTTTAAAAAAATAAGTTGTTCTGTTTTGCTTAAATCAGGATGGTTAGGCTTAGCAGATAAGCGCCTGAGTCCCAAAGAATGGCTAGATTCCTCATCCAGCGCCAGTTGTGGACTGTACCCTTCCCCGGCAGCCCTGAGCTGCAGTGGTGAAAGCACCATCACCCAGTCCCTGGCACCGACACGGAGATCTAGATTGAGTGCCCGGCTCCCTAGCTTCAGCCCAGTTCAGTGTCAACCACTGCAGGTGAGTGGGGAGTGAAGTCTGTCCCTCGATCTCCCAAAGAAATCAATGACAGTAATACAGTTCTGTAAGAAAAAGCAAAGAAGCAGGCATTTCCACTGCAAGCATCCATGGTTGGACATTTAAAAGGCATACACCTTGTGTCCCAGCAATTCTGCAAGAGGAATTCCATTCATCTGTCTGCAAGCATTTACAAAGAACTTCAAAAGGATGTTCGTGATACATTTGTAACTACTAAGAAAAAAATAATGAGATCCTAGAAATCCATCATTCAGCGACTAGTTAATTACGCATCTAACAGAACTGCACTCAACTGTTGGGAAAAGAACTGAACTAAGGCCAACTGTTGGGGGGAAAAAAAAATGAACTAAGGCCGTTTCCTATACAGAACCCCAGGAGCAAAAAGGCAGACCGGTGAGTTGCACGGGCTCAGGAGAACTTTCGAGCAACTTCCAGGACCAGAGGTTTACTTTCTGCCTCCCAAAACACTAACATGTTTCAAACATTACCACTGCTACCCCTTAGAGAGAGCAAACTTTCCTCTGGACTAGCCGGCCAGCCAATCACTTTCCCTAAAAGGCAACTGTTACCAGCTTCTCGGGCCTCCTGCCAGAGACACACCTTCTACCGTTTTCACCTAAAATAATGAGTTTTAGGATGCAACCTAGAGAGAATACAAAATGAATAAAAAGCCGCTGCAACTTACTCCTCCTCCTCTTCCTCCTCCCGCTTGTGTTTCTTCTTACGTGGAGCTGGGACACTGTTGAAATACACACACACACCCATCAGTCAATGGAGCAGGTCCACACTGCAGCATCCCTCAAACGTCCCCCTTGGTCGCCCAGTGGAGATGAACACGGGTCCCCCCGCCTCGCCCCGTCCCCGTACCCCAACTCCAAGGAGCGTCAGTGAGGGGAGGGATCGTGACACAGCCACAACAGCACACATCTGGGGTACGCACTAGGAGGAGGACCCATCTCCTAGCCGGTTGAGGAACCGAGTGTCCCACCGGCACTCAAAGTTGTCCCGCACTCCGACCCGCCAAGTTGCACTTGCCAGACCGAAGCTCCCACAGGACCCCCTCCCGGGATCGGGATCGGGATCGGCGTCCCCATGGGTCCCCCTGGGCTGGAGAGGGTCGCGGACAGGGCTTCAGGTGGCTCACCGTCCGCGCGCCGCGCTCCCACCGGGGCTGCTCGGGGCAGCAGCGCGGGGTCCCGGCCGCGGGGCCAGCTCGGCACCGTCGGCGGCTCCCGGCGGGAAGGCCCGGCCCGGGAAGGCCGGTGATGGCTGTAGGAAGTCCGAGGCGCCGCTCAGGGGGAGACCGCTGAAGGGCCGGCCAAGGGCGGCCATGGCCGGAGAGACAGGCACGCTGCGTCCACGATCCCGGCCGCCCGCGTCCCCAGGCCCGGTAGCTGCGGCCACAGCGACTGACCAAAAGTCGCCCGCCTCCGAGAGCCCGCTCCGACCTCACGTCACGCCTTCTAGAATCCTCCACCTCGGGGCCGCCCAGGGGCACGCCGGGATTTGTTGTGTGTGGAGAACCGCTATCGCGAGGGGTGCTGGGAGTTGCGGTTTTTGCAAAAAACTACAAACAGCATGGCTGCCTCTTGATTTCGTTGTGGAAGCGGATCAGAGTGTGGTCATCGGTTCGAATCCTGTGAAAGTTCTGTAACGGCTCCTCAGCTTCCTCGGTTGTGTGAAAAAGAGTCGTAACTAGGGTGGGTGTGAGGAGGAAATGAATTCAAACATTCAGAGCCCTTAGACTAATTGCTTGAAATGTTAGAATCAACTTTAATTCCTCCTATTTTAATATAGATGAAGTTGATAAAGCGTCATAGTTAAGGGTGTGGGTGATGGAGCCTTTAGTTCACTTTAGAGTGGGATCAAGGCGGGTGGTGGCGCAGTGGTTGCACGCCTGGGATCCCATATGGGCGCCGGTTCTATCCCGGCAGCCTCGCTTCCCTTCCAGCTCCCTGCCTGTGGCCTGGGAAAGCAGTCGAGGACGGCCCAAAGCTTTGGGACCATGCACCCGCGTGGGAGACCCGGAAGAGGCTCCTGGCTTCGGATCGGCATAGTATCAGCCGTTGTGGCTCACTTGGGGAGTGAATATCCTCCTTTCCAATAAAAATAAATAAATAAATCTTTAAAAAAAATAAATGTGGAGGACCTGAGATTGCAAACCTAAGGATATTGGTGTGCTGAGGCTGTCACAGCAAAATCCTAGCTACTACAACAAAATGCTAAAATAATAGAAAGTCGATACTGTCCCGTTTCAATTTCAGTTTCTTTTCCTGATTTACTTGCTGCATGAATTCCTTAGTGGACCCATCTCTGTGGACAGTTTCTTTGGAGGTATAATTCAGGAAGGAGAGTGGGGGACATAAACACTTCTTTCTTTTTTTTTAAAGATTTATTTTTTTATTATTTTTTCATTGGAAAGGCAGATATACAGAGAGGAGAGACAGAGAGGAAGATCTTCCGTCCGATGATTCACTCCCCAAGTGAGCGCAACGGGCCGATACTATGCCAATCCGAAGCCAGGAGCCTCTTCCGGGTCTCCCACGCGGGTGCAGGGTCCCAAAGCTTTGGGCCGTCCTGGACTGCTTTCCCAGGCCACAGGCAGGGAGCTGGAAGGGAAGCAGGGCTGCCGGGATTAGAACCGGCACCCATATGGGATCCCGGGCGTGCAAGGCGAGGACCTTTAACCACTTGCGCCACCGCGCCGGGCCCTCTTTCTTTTTTTTAATAAACGTTTCATAAATATAGCAGTAACACTGGCACCAGAACCTGGGAAGACACATTCTTTACTCAGCCAGAAACTCTTAATTTGTTCTGGTACTATATTAGGAATTTTTTATGGAGGGGGTAGAGGGGGGCGAAATAGAGAGGAAACAAGAGAAGGAAAGATCAGAGCTGTATAATTTGCTTCACTTGTTTGTCAGGAGCTTTAATTGAAATAGGACCGCCAACCTTTCAGACCAAAAGCATACCTTCCATCAGGCTTTTTTTAGAGGTCCCTGGAAAGAGTTCCTGGATTTACACAAGTCCAGCTAAACTTGGGAGTTTAGATGAAAAGGGCAAGAATTTGGAAGAGTAAAAGAAAAAAATCATCTAACTGACCTCAGAAGCCATGACTCAGAAACTGTGTGTGTGTGTTTTAATTTAGTTCCACATGATCAGGAATGGGTTTGCTGGGAGGCCCAGCAGCCTGTCCAGCTGCTGACAGCCCCAGGTAAAGGGGACGTTTCCTCTGAAGTCCTTCCCAGAACGTCCAAAATGCCATTCCTGGCAGCGTCGATCTGATTCTTTGTGTGGTCAGATTCCAAGAAGGCATGAAGACTGCCTATACAAGCATCTTAAGCTGGCCTTTCATCTCCTTCCTTTTTTGTAGAAGCACACAGTGGAATCAGGACATTTGTGTGCATGGCAGCTTTTTATTTCAAGGACTCCTGGTGTGTTTTTTGTAACTCTCTTTGTAAGTTGCAGGGGGTGGCCCTGCAGATCGCTTTGGTATGTTTGAATGCCATTAAGCCAGACAACTGCTGTGGTCAATCTGCCTTCTGAAAGAAAAAAAAAAATCAGGAAATTCTAAAATGTTAGCTGGAGCAAAATTCACAAAGCATACATCTTTGAAAAGGAACAAGGAGCTGCCAAAGAGCCCCAGGTTTAAGCTCCTGTAGTAGTATTTAATTTTGAAGATTTATTTATTATTATTTTAGAGAACTCTATTTTTATATAGGAGGGGCAGAAGCAGGAGGGGCAAAAAAAGCAGCTCCTAATACCGAGCCCTATTCAAGTGGCAGCTTCTTGTTCATAGGTTTAAGGAAGACCTTGAGGGAAGTTTGCTTTGCATGTTGTAATGGGTGGAAGGATGTAGGGCCCTCTCACACTCTCCATCTTGCCTCAGGCTATGTCCTGGAGCCCTGTGGGCGGAGAAAGCACCACTCTCACTCTTGGGATTGTTGACAGTAAAGCACAACCAGCAGGAAGAGCGACACGCCCAGCATGTTGGCGAGGATGGAAGATGGTGGGGTGACCCGCCCGGCCCGGCTCCAACACAACCGCAGGCAGGTAGGAGCCTATTTTTATTATTGTTTTTTTTTAAAATTTATTTATTTTTTATTGCCAAGTCAGATATACAGAGAGGAGGAGAGACAGTTAGGAAGATCTTCCATCTGCTGATTCACTCCCCAAGTGACCACAAGGGACATGTAAGGAGTGATTTGAACATCCCATCTTGGACCTGGCGCCATTCCCTGCTTCCCCCTCCCCACAGCTCCTGAAATTCCTGTGGTTAGGGTTTTCCATCAATCAGATGGCCCCTTATCTGAGAATTCCATCCCCAATCTCCCCGGCCCCTCCCTGACCCCTCCCCTAGTCTCTAATCACCTATCTGTGACTTACATAGTCTTGTCACCAGTCCCTGGAGCCAGCCGACAGCCCCTCCCTTCTCCTTACCCTCCTTCTCTCCCCTTCCCTTCTTACCCCTTCATGCCAGGTCCTATAAATATTTTTTAAAAAGCTTTGTTTGGGGCCTGGCGGCTTGGCCTAGTGGCTAAAGTCCTCGCCTTGAACACCCTGGGATCCCATATGGGCACCAGTTCTAGTCCTGGCAGTTCCATTTCCCATCCAGCTCCCTGCCTGTGGCCTGGGAAAGCCTAACCTTGGGACCCTGCACCCATGTGGGATACCAGGAATAAGCTCCTGGATCCTGGCTTTGGATCGGCATAGCATTGGCCGTTGGGCTCACTTGGGGAATGAATCATCGGACGGAAGATCTTCCTTTCTGTCTTTCTTCCTCTCTGTATATCTGACTTTCCAATAAATAAATAAATCTTTAAAAAAACCAAAAAACCATTAGAAAGAAGTTGTGGTTGTTGGGCAGTGGTTGGCAAATTCATGACCACATCTGACCCACCATCTCGTTTTGTTAAGAACATCTGATTGGAACAGAGTCCTGTCCATCTGCTTACCTATTGTTTATGGCTGCTTTTGTGCTACAAGGGCAGAAACAAGTAGTGATGACAGAGACCATATCATGACAAATCTGAAATATTCACTTTGTGGCGTTTTGGAGAAAAATTTTTAAAAATTTGATTTTATTTGGGATTCCCTCCCAAGCCTCTACCCGATGAAAAAAACCTTTTTAATTAACTAATTTATTTGACAGACAGGGTTACTCAGAGATCTATCTATCTATCTATCTATCTATCTATATATATATATATATATATAGAGAGAGAGAGAGAGAGAGAGAGAGAGAAAGAGGTTGTTCCTAACAACTTGAGTTCGGCCAGTCCAAAGCCAGGAGCCAGGAGCTTTTTCTGGGTCTCCAGTATGAGTACAGGGGCAAAGGAGATGGGCCATCCTCCACTGCTTTTTCAGGCACCAGAGAAGGAAGCTGGATGACAAATGGAGCAGCCAGGATTCAAAGTGGCACCCGTTGGGAGTGCCAGCAATGCAGATGGTGACTTTACCCACTATGCCACAGTGCCAGATCCTGAAAATGTTTCTGAATTTCTCTTTATGAGCCTATATGTACCTTCATCTTCATTCCAGGTTTTGCCCCTGCAGAGCTAAGAATTCAAAGCAGAAGTATCAACACTGCAAATGAGAGCAGACTACATATACCTTCCGGTGAGTGTGGGTAACTCACTCCCACACAGACATACCCGTCATGAATGGGCCGGAGCTGCCTGCGAGGAGAGAGGAGGAGGAGGCCGAAGAGGGACACACAGCATAGTTCCAAAGCCAAGAGCAAAAGGAGAATCAAAGGGGGCATTCCCCCATTATGTCTCTGTTTTGATGTCAGGGGTGATGGCCTGATTGGATATGCAAATGGAGTAGAGTTTAACGTGAGGCTTTCTGTGGGTTTCATGGCACCTCCCACATGCAGTTTAATATTCTGGCAGTTTCTCTCTTCCAGTCCCAAGTGAGATATAGGTGCATCAGGGGTAGTGGGTGTGCTGGACCGATAGGAGAAGGGACGGAGAAATTGTAGTTCAAGATTGCCTCATCATCTTCACACCTGGTTCCCCTGTATCCCATCCCCAGCTCCCTATACTGGGGGTGTGTGTGTGTCTGTTATCAAATCTCAGATGACGAACTGACCATTCATTCTCTGACCAGGCTGTGTTTCCTCTGCTGTGAGCAATCTTGCCACCCATTCATGCTTGAGCCACAAGTTTAAGAGGATATCAAGAAGGTAAACTGTTACCTATTCTCAATTAACAGGAGCCAAAAAGACGGAATACAAGAACTTTTTATTTTTAAGGCTTTAAATGAACAACAGTTACGGGGGAATCTTCTTTAACTTGATCTTTTCTTCTATGTTTGAGAAGTATCTCATCTTTGTTAAAATTTCCTTGGCCTTTTCAAAGTCCTCTGGAATAAACAAAGAGATACCGAGGTCAGGCTTCAGTACAAGACCCCAAGCTGGCCGCCAAGTCAGTGAGAGACACGCCCATCCTGGGGCTCTGGAAGGCGCATCAGTGACTCAGCAGATAAATCCTAGCAATGGACAGGGAGAACATCCTGACTGAGAGGGATAAAGGGATTAACCAAAAGGGGAGTGAGATTATGGTTGTTTACAGAATTTAGATAAACAAGAGAACCTAAATGTGTTCCATCAATGGGCTGTGTTTTAAAAGTTTTTCTCCCTGGGGCCAGCTTTGTGGTGGGTTATGCTGCAACCTGTGATGGTGGTAACCCATGTGAGTGCCAGCTGGAGACCCAGCTGCTCTACTTCCAGTACCGCTCCCTGCTAATGTGCCTGGGAAGGCAGCAGTAGTTTGGTCTCTGCCACCCATGTGGGAGATGCAGATAGAATTTCTAGATCCTGGGTTTGACTTGGTTCAGTCCTGGCTCTTGATGCCGTCTGCGGAATGAAGCAGCAGATGGAAGATCTCTCTTTCCCTCTCTTTGTTACTCTACCTTTCAAATCTTTTTTTTTCTGTTTGTTTGTTTGTTTGAATTTTTATTGCAACATCAGATATACAGAGAGGAGGAGAGACAGAGAGGAAGATCTTCCGTCTGATGGTTCATTCCTCAAGGGACCGCAATGGCCCGTGCTGCGTCAATCTGAAGCCAAGAGCCAGGAACTTCTTCCAGGTCTCCCCCATAGGTGCTGGGTCCCTTGCGTGAGTACAACAGAAGCACTTTCTCCTTTTTTTAATGTTTAACTGGCATAGCACCATTTCTGGTATATACTTCATTTCCTCAATAAGACTATCACTTCTTATAAATACCCGTCACTAACTGAGCCACTGGAGCAAGAATATCACCTCTAAGTGTAGCATAAAACAGCTATTTATTGAATGAATGATTTTGCTTCGATGCTTCCAAAAAACGTTTTAAAACATATTTAAGAACATTAACAAAGGAAGGAAATACCTTGTTCAAAAGCGTTGCCCACATTGTCAGTAAGTTCTTTCTGTTTGGCTGAAAAGAGAAAACCATCACCTCAATTTTTAAACTTAAACAGTTTTAAGAACAAAAGTTTGCAGTCTTTCTGGTTAGGACACAGTAAAGCAGGGAGCTTGTATTCAAGGTTAGGATTGTAAAGATAACATAACAGCACATGGTTTTTAGTTCAGGACTGGGGGAGACCCTCTTCATACTATTTCCCTACTTTTGTCAGGTCCGAGGGAAATCACCAAGGTCTATGAAATGGTTATGGTGCATTTAAAAGAGAGAGACAGAAAGAGAAAGACCAGGGTATGTCTTGATGATCTCCATGGTCTAAGTCTTCGAGCTGGCAGCAGGGAGAAAATGCACACGCTGGGATCACCATCAGCAAGCCTATTAGAAGATATTTCAGGGCCCGGCACGGAGGCGCAAGTGGTTAAGGTCCTCGCCTTGCACACCTGGGATCCCATATGGGCGCCGGTTCTAATCCTGGCAGCCCCGCTTCCCTTCCAGCTCCCTGCCTGTGGCCTGGGAAAGCAGTCGAGGATGGCCCAAAGCTTTGGGACCCTGCACCCATGTGGGAGACCCGGAAGAGGCTCCTGGCTTCGGATTGGCATAGTATCGGCCGTTGTGCTCACTTGGGGAGTGAATCATCGGACGGAAGATCTTCCTCTCTGTCTCTCCTCTCTGTATATCTGCCTTTCCAATAAAAACATAATAAAAATAAATTTAAAAAAAAAAGCAACCTCCAAAATTAAAAAAAAAAGAAGATGTTTCAGGCAACCACTTGCTAATTACGGTAAAAGGAAGTGGGAAGATGCCAAATGAAATGAAAGGGCAGTATCTCCTATTTCTGCACCCATGGGACTAGGCTTGGAAAGTTAAGTTTGGATTGTGTCACGTGGCAATGGGGTCCAAAAACAGCATCAAGAGAGGATCCAGAGAAATGCACTAAAACGCCTCCCTTAAAGTGCTTTTGCTTTCTCCATATTAACTTTGTCTTTTGAAGAGATGTTTGAGGTCTTCCAACTGGTTTGCTGGAGACTACTCAAACTTAACTTTCCTGTCTATCCCTGCTGAGTTCCTGGCTTCCTCTCGCATAGCCCTGACAATGGTAGGTATCTGGTGAATGAACAGAGGATGACAGCCGTCACTCCTTTTCTCTGCTTCTCAAATAATTAAATTAAAACAGAAAGGGAGTACAGCATGGTAGCACAGTAGGTAAAGCCGCCATCTAAGATGCTGCATCCCGTATCCAACACTTGGCTCGTATGCCTGGGAAAGCAGCAGAAGGTGGCCCAAGTGCCTGAGCCCCTGCCACTCCTTTCGGAGACCCAGATGGAGCATGAGGCTGCAGCTTCACCCTGGCCACGTGGGGAATAAACCATTGGGCGAAAGATTTCTTTCTCATTCCATTTCTCCCTATGCCTGTCATTATTCTTTTAAACAAATACGTACATTTTCAATAAAATTTTAATAAAATTAATTATAAATCTTATTTAAAACAATTTTTAATAGATGTTTTTAAGCAAGACCAAAGTAGTGATTAGATTTGTGTGTAAAAAAGGTGGCACATGTGGGAGACCTGCGTACAATTCCTGGCCCAGCCCTGATCAATTTGGCCATTTTGGCTGTGAAGAAAGCAAATGGAAGGCATCTCTCTCCCTCTCTGTAACTCTTAGCTTAAAAAAAAAAAATTGTCATGAGTATGAAAGATCACATCATAATTACATCATAGTTCAAGGCTGCCTTCGCTAAGGTTAAAATGTTGCAAGCTTGAACCTCTATTCAAGATTGGTTTCAGAAGCAGCTAGGAAACAAAAACCCCTCTCTGAATCCATATAATGCTATTTATTCCGTATGGTCACTTTTCATTCAGCCCCAGCCACGCAGCAGCAATGAAAGACAGTTGGTGGTCCCATATGTTTTACCTCTGACAATGGATTCAATCTCCTTTAGGACAGCTTCATTTGGAGCTTCTGCGAGTGTTTCATTGATTTCCATGATTTCCATGAGGAACTGCTTGTCCATTTCATCATGTGTCCCTTCAGAAATCTCTACTCCATGGAGCTTTAGCTATTGGGGCAGACAGCAGGAAAAGTATGCATGGTTCAGGAAATGAGAGCCAGAGTCATGCCAGTCCTGCTCACCTTTCACAACCTAATGCCCCTGATGGACTAGACTCCCTGTCTCAGTAACACAACCCAGAGTTGTGGGTGCCCCAAGTACGGCTGTGAGAGGAGTGCTGAGCCAGGAGCCTGCTCTGTGTTTCCCGGGTCCATGAGAGCCAAGGGGAATGACACTTCCACCAGGGATCTGTGAAGACTGTGCTCCATTTTGAAATTTCCTGGACTTCTTTCGGAAAGAAGAAAACCAGACACATTCAGATTTACTTCTCCCTAAAAGCCATCATCATCAAATCCTCATAGTTCATAGAAAATGACCAAGGAGAACATGTTAGAGTGAGTGAGATTGACAGAGAAAAGTGCATTCATGAAGTATCTATTAGACAAAGCATGCTGGGCTCCTGAGGGAGCTCAGATCTCAAGCGCAGGTTTCCTGCTGACAGACTAGGCAGCTGTTATACAGAGCAGGCACCAGGGAGTCACGCATTCAAGGGCTGGGAAAGCACCTTACAAGGTATAGTCCTCTGCTCAGTGGGGCCAGAAGGGTCTTATAGGCATCATTCACCATGGTCGAATGCTTCTCTGAGAAGTCCTTTTCAGTCTGTTAGTGGAGAGGAACACAGTCTTATTACTTTCCAAATCAGGCACCTTACATCCACACTTGTGTATAATATGCTGACAGCCAGGCACTTAAGGAAGGGGCCATGGTAGAACTGGGTGCTGGGGTCTGACATTGTGTGGCCAAAGGGGATTCAGTTGCCATGTGCAATGCTGGCATCCCATGATGGGCACTGGTTCGTGTCCCAGCTGTTCCAATTTTGATTCAGCTCCCTGCTGATGCATCTGGGAAAGCAGCAGTGGATGGCCCAAGTGCTTGCGGCCCCTGCACCCGGTGGGAGACCTGGAAGAGGTTCCTGGCTCCCAGCTGCGGCTCAGCCAAGTGCTGGCTGTTGTGGCCATTAGGGGGAATGAATAAGTCAAACTCTTTCCTTCTCTTTCTCTCTGTAACTTTACCAAACAGATATGTCTTAAAAAACAAACAAAAAACGTGAGAAGGAACAATAGTGGATAAAAAAAAAAAAGAAAAAGAAAAAAAAAGAACTGGGGTAGCATCACGTAGCTTTATTTCTCTGTTTTCAGCAGTTGTCTGGGAAGTCAGAAAAAACCTGAATAGTAGCTCGAGGGTTCAGCTGGCTGGGATCACACAGGGCACAGGCTGTTTGTTCAGCCCTGTCCCTGACAATGGAATTAGCACCAGGTCATGGCCACCCTTCATGTCTGTGGACTATCAGGCTATCATCTGTGTTCAGGAAGCTACCTGCGACCTCTGGCTGAAGAAATCTGGGTGGACAAGACGCTGCAGTTCCTGGTATCTGCGTTGGAGCTTCGTGGTATCAACCCTGAAGGAACGCTTGCTGGAAGGAAACTGGAGATGAAGTTTACATAGCACAAAAATGACAGGTTTATCTAACCGTGGGCCTGGTTTCTGCACTCCTGGTTGGTGGTAACTTTTAAAACACGTTTAAGTGCCAAGGACAACAACATGGGCAGCGAGCATGGTAGATGCCAGCTGTAGCCCCAACTGGGTGATGTTCATGATGAGTAATCAGAGGAGGGCCACCGAGGCAAAGACCTCGAGGGTCGTGTCGGTGTAGCCCTACCTGAAGTGACTGCTGGCCCGCCTGACCCCGGAGTAATAGGGTAAAGAGACTTCCCCCAACCATTCCCCCTTCCCTATTTCTTCCCAAAGCCTAGGTTCCTTCAATCCTGTCCCCCTTTTTAGTCAAAATTCCCTCAGCTTCCCACTCCCAGAGCCTGCCCGACTTCTTTACCAGTTCAGTTCGGCCCATATTTCCCTTTCCTTCCCATTTCCACTTCCTCCCTAGACCTCACCTACGGTGTGACGTTAGGGTTAGTGGTTTTACTTCTCACTACTCTTTTTCTTAATTGCCTCAACTTTAAGCGCCCTGACCCGGTCCCTCAAAGCTCCCTTCTTCCCAGGCCCTGCACCCCAAGCTCCGCCTCTCGACTTCACCTCTTTTCCGTAGGGGCGAAGTCTCTCCTGCCCAACCCCTCAGCGCCCCTTCCTTCTGCCCCTCAATTTCCTCTCTCCGGATGCCCCCAACCCCAACTTTGGGGGAAGGAGACTCCGCCCATCCCATCTTCCCGGTTGAGTCTCCTCCTTCCCACGCCCGACCCGCCCTCCCCTCGCACAAGGCCAGCCTCCTGACATCTCCCTTCTCCCCACACCCCCCAAAAAACCCTGCCTCTCGTACCAATCCAAGAGGCTGAAGTAGTCGCGAGCGCGGTCAGGCGGCTGCAGCGCGCGGCACCGCGGACAGAAGAACCCGTCCCCCGACCCAGGGCCCCCCGAAACGCCGCAGTTCCAACACGCGGGCGAGTCACTTCTCGCCTGAGACGCGGCATCACTACTTAGCAGTCTCCTTCCGGGCACCCCCGCCGGCCACAGATCCCACACCCGGAGCAAGGCACGGGACCTCCAGCTCCACATCTGGGTCCGAGGGCGTCCCCTCTCGGGCGTCCCCTCTCCTCCCCTCCACAACGATCCCTGTTCCCTCACGCTGTCGATTGGCTGTGAGGAGCTGAGGGGGCGGGATCATTCCAGGGAAACAGAGATTGTGGAGTCCCGCTCTGCCTGAGAAACTACAACCCCCAGCAAGCTTTGAGCCTCCACGTGGCGGTCACATCCGCTGCTGCTCATTGGTCTGGCGGCGGCGGAGGGTGCTCTGATTGGCTGAGGGTGGAGTTTGTATCTTGAGGTTTAGCGCCACTCGGCGGGGTTCGCCTGTGTGAAGAGTGTGTGGCGCCAAAGTGGGCTCCCCGGGGTGAGTCAGCGGGGACCTCCTCTCGGGTGTTGAAGGGGAGGAATCGAATCGCGTCCTCAGAGCGTTTTGCGAGCAGAGTTTCCCAAGCTTCCGCTTTGTTTGGGTTTGGGAGCACGTGGAGGACTTCCTCAGTAGACAAGGACAAGTTCCCTTCCCTTGTTACTTACCAGTCGAATCAGGCCTGGGCTTTTTTACAAAGTTGCTTTGGAGAGAGTTGCGTTGCCGGGTGGAAGTTGTTACAGTTGCGTAGATACGACCTCTAAGATATTTAACCAGGAATCTACACTTAGCTGGCTGGGCGCCGAGAGATTTGGAAAACCACACCGACCGGAGTTGGAAGGTCGTCCGTCCCCCTGCCAGCGTCCATAACATGGGTGAGGAGGTGCAGTGACCAGGAGCGGGCAAGTGGGCACCAGTCCTGCTTGGTACTCATTGTTTCTGTTTGAAAAAAAAAAGGCGGTGTGGTACTTGTAAGGCCACTCAGGTCCCTTGGGCCTGCTGCTCGTAGTTCCTGGCGGGTTTTCCTGCAACCAGTTTGTGTTCACCCTCCTCCTTGCTGGCGTTTCTATGGGACTCGCAGCATTCCTGGAGGAGGAGTCCCACGTGGGACTGGGTTTCTGTTACTGTTTTTCCAAAGGAGGAAGTGGATCAGAAGAGGCGGTCCTCTACCTAAGGATCGGGCATGAGTGTGCTCTGAGGCCCATTGAGCTTCTAAACTCTTAGCACATGCTGCCTGTTTGGAGGGGGCAGGAAGCAAACGCTTCTGTGAGAAGTCTGGTTGACTAAGCTGCAGTGGACAGTAGCCTGGAAGCTAAGGAGATAGTGTGTGTGTGGGGGGAAACACTGAAGGTTATTTGGACTTTCCTGGTGATTCTGTTATCTTGATTGGCTGGAACTTGTGTGTGTGTGTGTGTGTGTGTGTGTGTGTGTGTGTGTGTGTGTGTGTGTATGAAGCCTGTTAAGTGTGTGTAACTGCAAAACAAAGGCAAGATTCCATTAGGATGCTGGAGAGCCCTGTAAGTTACTTAGCATCACAAAGGGCTACTTGGAGCTGTTTGGAGCTGCCTTGTTAACCAACTGGCATTCTAGAAGAACTGGACACAATCTCTTCCTGGGAGAGAAAGGGGTTTTGTGATAATGTAAAGAACCCTCTCCAAAGTGGTGAAATTTGTTTTCCCAGCTCCCTCATCTTTTTATCCCAAACCACCTGACCCATCCTTACGTTCCTCTTTCAAATATGCATAAAAGGGGCCAGCATTTAGGGTATGTTGGGATCACTTGGTGCCTGCAATGCTGGCCTGCCATATAAAAATACAGGTTCAAGTCCTGGCTGTGCTATTTCCTGTCCAGCTCCCTGCTAACATGCCTAGGGAAGCAGTGGAAGATGGTCCAAAGTAATTTGAGTCTCTGTCGCTCATTGCAGTGAGGACTTCCTGGCTTTGGCCTGGCCCAATCCTTTGAAAGTTAGGAATGAAACTTTAGAGCTTACTAATACAGTGAAAAATACAACTAAATTCCATGTACGTTAAAAAAATCTAATTTATTTGAAAGGCAGATTGGGAAGGAAAGAGAAAGGGATAGATCTGTAATCCCCTCGTTTCCTCTTCAAATTCCTCCAACAGGTAGGGCTGGATCAGTCCAAAGCCAGAGACTGGAGCCGTGTCTGAGTCTCCTGTGGGAGGTAGGCACTGAGCACTCCCACTTCCTTCCCAGGCTCCTCGGCAGGAAGTTAGACTGCAAGTAGAACTGCGGGGACGCCAAAGAGCATTGTAATGTGAGATGCCAGTTTTGCAAATTGTGGCTTAAAGCGCCAGCCCCAACATTTCCACTTTTCACAAATAATGCCTAAAAGCTTTTGTGAATGCTCCCCTCCCAATTCAGTGTCATTGCCTTATTAAAAAAAAATTTTGTTGCATTCAAGTAATTTTTTTGTTGTTGTTTTGTTTTTTTGTACTGCTTGTCTAAAAAGGAATCTGGTGAAAGTATAGGCTCAAAGTGCAGGTCTACACTGGTAGGATTGATTTTTAAAGATTTCTTTCTTTTTTTATTGGAAAGGCAGATATACAGAAGGGAGAGACAGAGAGGAAGATCTGTCTGCTGATTCACTCCCCAAGAGTTGAGCTGATCTGAGACCAGGAGCCATAGCTTCCTTTGGGTCTCCTACATGGGTGCAGGGTCCCAAGGCTTAGGGCTGTCCTCTACTGCATTCCTAGGCCACTGCATTCCCTGGATGGGAAGTGGAAGAGCCAGGGCAGGAACTGGCATCTGCTTGGGATCCTGGTGCTTGCAAGGTGAGGACTTTAGTTAATTAAGCAATTGAATCAGGCCCTCGCTTTTTTTTTTTTTTAAAGAACACTTTAGAAAAATAAAACATATTTTTTTGAAAAGTAGAGCCACACAGATAGAGAGATCTTCTACCTGTTGGTTTACTTCCCAAATGCCTGAAACAGTCAGGGCTGGGCCAAACTAGGAGTCAGGAACTCCTTCCAGGTCGCCCCCTTTTTGGGAGGGCCTTGGTCTGCTGCCTCCCAGGATGCACATGAACAGGAATCTCCACTGGGAGTGGAGGTGAGACCATCCCACGCACTCGGATATGGGTTGTGGAATGGACGCATCCCAAACAGGTGCCGCATTGCTTGCCCCTCTACTTCGTCTTGTTCTTGCAAATTCACCTTACTTTTGGGCCCTTCGTTTTCCAGGTGGTGATGTCTCGGGAGAAGGATGTGGAAGGTCAGCAGTCCCATGCCAGCCCCTCTTCCCAACCCCAGGCGAGCAGTGCCTCTTCCCAGTCCCAAGGCTATCCATCCCAGTCCTCTGGCCTGTTGTTTCAGACCCCTGGTCCTTCCTCTCAGTCCCAGAGTACATCGAGCTCCTCTGCCAGCACACTGCTCACCTCCAGCCAGTCGTCTCATTCCAGCTCTGGGACACTGAGCTCCTTAGAGACAGTGTCCACGCAGGAACTCTGCTCTATTCCCGAGGACCAAGAGCTAGAGGAGCCCGTCCCTGCCCCTTGGGGACGACTCTTGGCCCTTCAGGATGGATTCTCCAATCTTGGTAAGACCTTTGATTGTGTCGTATTCATGTGTTGCTCAGACAGTCACAACATGTTGCAGTGACTGGAATTTGAAGGGGATGAAAGGGGAAAGCAAAGAGGTCTTGTGAGATAGTATGCTTTTTCACCTGCTCTGGATTCCCTTCTGTCAGTAAATACTAATGAGGTGTTTGCAATGTGTTCTCTGAGAAGCGGAAGAGAGAAATGAACATCTGCAAAAATGCAGATGTGGGAGCTGGCTCAGGCAGGTTAAGCCGCTGCCCTTAACTGAAGCATATCATGTGGGCACTGGCTTGTGTCCCAGCTATCCTATTTCTGATCCAACTCCCTGCTAATGTGTCTGGGAACGCAGCGGACGATAGCCCTGTTGCTTGGGCCCCCTGCCTCCTATGTGGGAAATCTGAATGAAGTGCTGGACTCCTGGCTTGGGTCTGGTTGGACCTGGTTGCTATCTTTTCAGTGAGGGAAGATTCCTTCTGGCTATCCTCTGTGTAATTCAGCCTTTGAAATCAATCAATAGGTATTTTTTTTCCTTTTTTTAAAATTAATTAATTTTTTATTGCTAAGTTAGATTTACAGAGAGAAGGAGAAACAGAGAGGAAGATCTTCCCTCCTCTGGTTCACTCCCCTAGTAGTCACAATGGCCAGAGCTGAGCTTGAAGCCAGGAGCCAGGAGCTTCTTCCAGGTCTTCCACGTGGGTACAGGGTCCCAAGGCTTTAGGTCATCTTCCACTGCCCTCCCATGACACTAGCAGGGGGCTGGAAGGGAAATGGAATAGCTGGGATTAGAAATGTCATCCATTATGGGATCCCAGCACTTGCAAGGCGAGAACTTACCACACTGGGTCTGTTGTTGTTGTTGTTGTTGTTGTTGTTAAAGAGCCAGAGCTTCCATCAACTGGTTTACTCCCCAGATGGTCACCATGACCAGGGTTGGGCAGCCGAAGCTAGGAGCCAGGAACATCTTCCAGGTCTCCCATGGGTGGCAGGGGTCCAAACACTTGGGTCATCCTACACTGCGTTCCTAGGCCCTAAGAAGGGAGCTGGGTTAGAAGTGAGCTGCCAGGGCGTTAACAGCACCTGTGTGGCTCTCCTTCACTACACCAGTCCCAGCACATCTTTTTAAAAATATTCAGGTGCAAGCAAATTTGCAAACGTCCAGTTATAGAAGCTTTGACAGTTAACCCTGGCTGTGGTTTGCTGCAAGCTTCACAACCTCATCACCATTCAGAATAAGGAAAGCTGTTTGTTAATTATCTAATTGTGTTTGTCTCAAAATTGACAACCTTGCAATCTGAATATGTCAGTTCTCTCTGTCTCCCGTCTTTGCTTTGGCATGTTTGAAATAGCCTTGGGATTCTCTTACATTACAGGACTTCTTTGTATATGAAAGATTTGAACTTGACATTGGTAGAAAATAACGTAAAGAAACAAATGACTAATGTATTTTGTTGTGCCTTGCCGCTCACCACTCTTTTGTTTTATTTCATGTCCAACTTTCATGATTTTAAAAAACTGTACAAAATTGGGAAACCATATAGCAACATTGCACAGATATAACTTTAAGCAAGCTTTTGATAACTTGCCTTTTTTTTTTTTTAATAAGAACAAGCTTTTATAACTAATTAGGTTTTTGAAACAATTTTTTACTCATGTAAACCATGTTTTTCGGTTAGTCTTACAGGTTTAGGTGCATGAGAAATAGGAAGGAGAAGTGTGATGCATTATCAGTATAAAGTTCATGCTCAAGAAACAAAAAAGAGTTGTTGCCACTGATTCACACCTGTGACACCTTTGAATTGTTTTGTAGTTTTAACTCATTTTTGAGTTGAAATTTTTTAAGGTTTAATTATTTTTATTGGAAAGTCAGATTTACAAAGAGAAGGAGAGACAGACAAGATCTTCTCTTCGCTGGTTCGCTCCTCAAGTGGTCACAAGGGCCGGAGCTGAGCCGATCTGAAGCCAGGAGCTTGGAGACTGCTGGGTCTTCCCCGCAGGTGCAGGGTCCCACAGCTCTGGGTCATCCTCTGCTGTTTTCCCGGACCACAAGCAAGGAGTTGGATGAGAAGTGGAGTAGCTGGGACACGAACCAGTGCCCATGTGTGATCCTGATGCATGCAAGGCAAGGATTTAGCCATTAGGCTATTGCACTGGCCCTAGTTGATTTTTTTTTTTCTTTTTTTTGCTGTGAGGTGGCGGTTTGAATTCATACTTCTGCTTTCATAGTCATTTGTCCCAGCACTATTTCTGGAAGACTCCCACCTCCTTCCCTCCCCCGCCCTGCCCCACATTGAATACTCTTGGCAGTCATGTCAAAATCGCCTGACCATAAATGAGAGGGTTTAGTGCTGAAATCTCAACTCTGTTCCATTAAGCTGTGCCAATAATATAAAATGTAAATTATTATAGGCTTTTTTTAAGTACATTTTGAAATCCAGTAGCTTTAGTCTCAGTTTGTTCATCCTCAAGATTATTTTGGCTATTTGTGGATCATTTTCACTTTTGTGTGAATTTTAGTATGAGCTTGTTATCTCCTGTGAACAGGCAGTTGAGTTTTTGGTAGGAATTACATTGAATCAGTAGATTAATTTGAAGAGTATTCTGTTCTTGTATATGCGCTGGGGCTTTCTTTCCCTTTATTCAGTCTTTCCTAATTTATGTTTAATTTTTAGTAAGATTTATTTATTTGGAAGGCTGATATGCTGAGGAGATACAGAGAGAAGGATCATTTTTTTGCTGGTTTACCCCCAAAGTGGCCACAATGGCTGGTGCTGAGCTGATCTGAAGCCAAGAGCCAGAAGCTTCTTCCGGATCTCCGGTGCAGGTGCAGGGTCCCAAGACTTTGGGTCATCTCAATTGCTTTCCCAGGCCACAAGCAGGGAGCTGGATGGGAAGTGGGGCAGTTGGGATATCAAACTGGCACCCATATGGGATCCCCAGGGTTGCAAGGTCAGGATTTAGTGAGTATGTTGGGACCCCTAATTTTCGAAATAAGATTTTGTTGTTTTCAAAGTTCAAGTCTGTAATACTAAGTATTTTAATATTTACTTTTGTTTAATGTAGTAAAAATATAATAATTATTTTTTTAATTCTATTTTTTATTTTTGAATATGTTGACCTGGGTTGGAAGGGTCAAGGACTAGGAGAAACTGGATGAGACCATTGTTTCAGAATTTTCTTTTTCCTTCCTCCTGTATCTGGAGGAAGAGGGGAGATAAGAGGAGAAACCGGGCCCAGCGCGGTGGCACAAGTGGTTAAGGTCCTCTCCTTGCACGCCCGGGATCCCATATGGGCGCCGGTTCTATCCTGGCAGCCCTGCTTCCCATCCAGCTCCCTGCCTGTGGCCCGGGAAAGCAGTCGAGGACGGCCCAAAGCTTTGGGACCCTGCACCCGCGTGGGAGACCCGGAAGAGTCTCCTGGCTTCGGATCAGCATAGCATCGGCCGTTGTGCTCACTTGGGGAGTGAATCATCGGACGGAAGATCTTCCTCTCTGTCTCCCCTCTCTGTATATCTGCCTTTCCAATAAAAAAATAATAAAAATAAATCTTTAAAAAAAAAAGATCATTAAAGAGGAGAAGCCACACCCAGCTTCCCCCAGTATCCAGGATGGAGAATAGCCACCCAATGTCATCCCATCCCTGATATGGAGCATGCTCCAAGGGTTCTGTTCAGGTGGTTTTGATAGTTCTGAAATGTTGTCGATCTTGCAGATCCAAGGATGAGGAAATCCTTTCAAGGCCCATTGGCTGACATAGTTGACCTTAGAGTATCTATTCACTCAGATATTTGCTGTTAACACTTGGCTGGAATAGTTGACCAATTTGTTCTCCCCTCCTTCCTCTGCTATGGTAGCACGTATTTTCTGCAGGCCCTAGTGGACTGCCATATCCTCCATGTTCTATCGATCTAATACTCTGTCTTAGGCACTGAGGAGACCCAGTTCTGACACTTCCACTCCATGCTCAGATAACAGATCCTGCGATTCTCCCTGTTATTGGAGTTCTGAGTCCAGTGGTTCAGTTGTAGGGGATCCCGAAAGCAACCTTGTCTGAAGTGATCCCAGATCTAACTTTTGTGTGTGCTTATCAGTATAGGTTCCGGGTCAATCTGTCACCCACATCAACCTCCATACACACTGGTTGGTAGTTGTAGTTGCTGAGTCAGTTCTGTCTCCAGCACTGTTTCTTATGTAAACGAATAGATGTTACAGTCCAGCCCAACCCTGCTCATCACACACCTGACCCTCATACAGCAGCTGGAATTGCAGCCTAGTGGGAGCGACCCCCAATAGCCTCTACTAGACTCGCCCCTAATCCTAGTTTCTCTACTTGCCAGTATGTGTAGTAGTAAAAAGATATTACATTTGTAAAACAAAGAAACAAAAAGTGTACATATGTTTTTTAAAGATTTATTTATTTGAGAGGCGGAGTTACATAGAGAGGGAAGGACAGACAGAAGGAAAGATCTTCTCTCTGCTGTTTCCCTCCTCAAGTGGCTGGTGTGACTGGGGCCGGGCTAGGTGAGAAGCCAGGAGTCAGGAGGTTCTTTTAGGACCAAGGACTTGGTCCACTTTCCACTGCTTTTGTAGCTGTATTAGCAGAGAACTGGGTTGGAAATGGAGCAGCCAGGGCTCAGACCAATGCCCATGTGGGATGCCGGCTTTGTCTACTGTGCCTCCACACCATTCTCAGAGTTTCATTTTTGTTTGTTGACTGAATGATACTCCATGTTTATGTATACGTCAAAAAATTTTTTTGTTTTTTAATTTATTTATTGGAAAGTCAGATATACAGAGAGGAGGAGAGACAGAGAGGAAGATCTTCCGTCCAATGATTCACTCCCCAAGTGAGCGGAACGGCCGATATTATGCCGGTCCGAAGCCAGGATCCAGGAACTTCTTCCGGGTCTCCCACGCGGGTGCAGGGTCCCAAGGCTTTGGGCTGTCCTTGACTGCTTTCCCAGGCCACAGGCAGGGAGCTGGATGGGAAGTGGAGCATCTGGGACTAAAACCGGCGCCCGTATGAGATCCCACTGCATTCAAGGTGAGGACTTTAGCTGCGAGGCCACGGGGCTGGGCCCACGTCAAAAATTTTAATCTAACTTTTGCTGATGGGCCTTTGGATGGTTTCTACCTTTGACTATTGTGAGTCATCGTTGCTGTGACTATTTTCAAATAAGACCTGAGTCCCCATTTCTTGTACTTTGGGTAAATAGCTGGAGTATATGGTCATTCTGTTGCAGCTTGAGAGACTGCCAAGTCATGTTCCATAACGTCGTACAGCTCTCCGTGTATCCCCACATGTACTGTGTAAGGGTTCCCATTTTCACACATTTTACCTTTGCTTGTTCTCTGTATGCTGAATCCTGGCTGCCTTGTTAAATATAAAACCATATCTTATTGTGGTTTTTCTTTTGTGTTCCCTTATGGCTGATTGTAGAAACATCTTTTCGTGTGTTTTTTGGCATTATTTATATCTTTTGTGGGAATAAGTGCTTATTCATATCCTTCTTTTTTTTTTTAAAAAAAAGATTTATTTATTTTTATTGGAAAGTCAGATATAAAGAAAGGAGGAGAGGCAGAGAGGAAGATCTTTTGTCTAATGATTCATTCCCCAAGTGGTCACAATGGCTGGAGCTGAGCCGATCCAAAGCCAGGAGCCAGGAGCCTCTTCCGGGTCTCCCCACGCGGGTGCAGGGTCCCAAAGCTTTGGGCTGTCCTCGACTGCTTTCCCAGGCCACAGGCAGGGAGCTGGATAAGAAGTGGGGCCACCGGGTTTAGAACCGGCGCCCATATGGGATCCCGGCGCATGCAAGGTGAGGATTTTGGCTGGTAGGCCACCGCGCCGGGCCCATATCCTTAGCTCTTAATTAAGTTGTTATCTTTTCATTGCTGAGTTGTAAATATACCTTATACTCTAAATGCAACTCCCTTTTCAGATATGATTTGCAAATTTTTTTCTCCAGACTGTGGATTATCTATTTTTAAGATTCGTTTGAAAGGCAGAGTGATAGAGCCAGTGAGAATGAGAGAGAGAGTGAGTGAGAGACAGAGAGAGAGAGAGAGAGAGAGAGAGATCTTCCATCCACTGGTTCCCTCTCCAAATGGCTGCCACAACCAGGTCTGGGCTGGGTCCAAGCCAGGAACCTGCAGGTCTATTGAGATTTTCCACAGGTTGGTCAAGCCCAAGTGCTTGAGTCAATTTCTCTTGCCTTCCCGGGTACATTAACTGGCAACTTGATTGAAAGTGGAGTAACTGGGACTGGAACTGGCACTACCATGGAGAAAGCAGCAAGTTAATCTGCTGGACCATCCTGGCTCCATGATTTTGTTCATTAACATGTAAAGAGATCAACTGGTATTTTAATTCAGACTGTCATGAATCTGCAGATAATTTCAGCAATGTTGTTTTAAAAATACTAAGCCTTTTAATTCAGGAGTAGTTTTTTTTTTTTTAAAGTATTTTCATTTGAAAGGGAGAGTGCGGCAAAGAGATATCTTTGTTCTATTTGTTCACATTCCAATTTCCTACAACACCCAGTGCTGCATCTGGCAGAAGTTGGGAGCCAGGAACTTCACCCGGCTGTCCCACAGGGGTAGTAGGGACTCAGGTTAAGCCCACATCTGCTGCTTTCCAGGGTGTGTGTTCGCTGGATGTTTGATCCCAAATAGAGGAGTGGGATGCTGGTGTCCCACATGATGTCTTAATTTCCGTGCCCTACGTAAGTAACTCTTAAGATTTTTTTTTGTTTGTTTGTTTCAAAAATGTTTTGTTTTTGAGAGCTTGTTTGGAGGTTCTAGCAGGGGAGCGCAGCTACTCCTATACCCTTGACCGAAGACCGGTCCTCCTCTAGCGGGGATGGTCGTCCTCTTCGACCGAGCGCGCAGCTTCGGGAGGGACGCACATGGAGCAGTGAGGGAGGAAGGGGACCCCCACCTAGCCAGCCAGATCAGCCGAATCAACCCTGGCGATCAATGGGGTGACAGATGTCACAGCCAGATCGCCCTCACATCCAAAAATGTTTTGTTTTTGGAGTGGAAGAGTTGTAAGTCATTTGGCCAGCGCATTCCTAAGTAACTTGTTCTTTCTATGCACTTGCAAATGGGATTGTTCTTTGGGGATTTTTACTGTGCAGAAATACAAGTAAGGCGATAATGCCATGACATGGCAAGTTATTTTACTTGAGAGTCAGAATTAGAGAGAGAGATGGAAAGCAAGATCTTCCATCTGCTAGTTCATTCCCCAAATGACACTATGGCCAGAGCTGCTCAGTCTGAGCCAGGAACTTCTCGGTCTCCCATGTGGAAGAAGTCCTTGGGACATCCTCTGCTCGTTTCCCAGGCCATCAGCAAGGAGCTGGATCAGAAGTGGAACAGCTGGGATATGAACTGGTGTCCATATGGGATGCTGGCATGGCAGGTGGAGGATTAGCTTGCTAGGCTGTAGTGCCGGCCCCCTTGTATATGGATCCTGCCTGCTGTAATGTTAAATTTAATTGTTAGATTTAACATTTTAAAAAACATTTATTGGACCTAGCGCTGTAGCCTAGTGGTCAAAGTCTTCACCTTCCACATGCTGGGATCCCATGGACACTGGTTCTTGTCCTGGTGGCCCTGCTTTCCATCCAGCTCCCTGCTTGTGGTCTGGGAAAACAGTTGAAGACAACCCGAAGCTTTGGGTTGCACCTGCAAGAGAGACCCAAAACAAGCTCCTGGCTCCTGGCTTCGGATCGACTCAGCTATGGTTGTTGTGACCATTTGGGAAGTGAACCAGTGAATGGAAGATCTTTTTCTCTGATTCTCCTTCTCTTTGTGTATCTGCCTTTTCAAAAAACAGACAGACAAACAAAAATATTTATTTTTTGAAAGACAGAGAGAGCAGGCCTGGCATGATAGCATAGTGGTTAAAATCCTTGCCTTGAATGCGCCAGGATCCCATATGGGCGCCGGTTCTAATCTCGGCAGCTCCACTTCCCATCCAGCTCCCTGCTTGTGGACTGGGAAAGCAGCAGTTGAGGACGGCCCCAAGCCTTGGGAATCTGCACCCATGTGGGAGACCTGGAAGAGGAAGCTCCTGGCTCCTGGCTTCGGGTCAGTGCAGCACCAGCTATTGTGGCTGCTTGGGGAGTGAATCATCGGACGAAAGGTCTTGTTCTCTGTCTCTCTTCCTCTCTGTATATATGACTTTGGCAATATAAAAAATCTTTTTTTTTTTAAAGTTTTTTCTTTACTGTGGATCTGATCAGTGAAGCAAACTTGTAAATTTTTTATACTAAAGCCTTGATATACAAACCTGTTGTTTTGATTGCCTACTTAGGCCTTTTTTTTTTTTTTTTTTTTTGCTTTAGGTGTATTTCATGAGGATTTTTGTTTGTTAAGATGTGTTTACTTGATATGAATATCAGAGTTACAGAAGGGCAGAGGAAGGGGTGACAGAGAGAGAGGTATCATTTGCTGGTTCGCTTTCCAAATGGCCACAGCAGCCAGAGCTAGGCCAGTCCAAAGCCAGGAGCCAGAAGCTTCATCCAGCTCTTCCATGTACATGCAGGGGCTCCAGGACTTGAGCCATCCCCTGCGGCTTTCCTAAGCCATAAGGAGGAAGTTGGTCCAGAACTAGAGCAACTGGGATTTGACTCAGTATCCATATGAGATGGCAGCACTGCAGGTGGAGGATTAGCTTGCTATGCCACTGCACAGGCCACTCATGAGACGTTCTTAATGGGCGTTTGATGCATGAAATTCAACAGCTTTTGGTATGTGTTTTTATGTTCCAGAGTGTGTTAACGACAGCTACTGGTTTGGCAGGGACAGAAGCTGTGACTACTGGTTTGACGAGCGACTACTGAAAAGGAGTGACAAATACCGGACATACAGCAAGAAACACTTCCGGATTTTCAGGGTAGGAGGCGGATAGCCAGGAGCTTGGTGCTCCTGTAACTCTGAGATATCAGCGTAATTATAAGTCCCCACTGTCGCAGCTGCGACGGAAACATGCTCTCCCTTGCAGGAAATGGGTCCTAAGAACTCTTACATCGCGTACATAGAAGATCACAGTGGGAATGGAACCTACGTGAACGCCGAACTTGTGGGCAAAGGAAAGCATCGCCCTTTGAGTAACAATTCAGAAATTGCCCTTTCGTTATGTAGGAATAAAGGTAATGTCGTTGTCCTAGTTGATGGTAGATTTTTGTCCCTGCTCATAGAAAATGGATGCTGTATCCTTACAAAAAATGACTTTGCTAACATTAGGCAGGGTAATGTTTGCCAGTCTTTTTGCTCGTCCTAATTGTGTTTTCAAATTATGAACAAGTTTTTCCAGACAAACTTTTTTTTTTCCCCTAATTGCATGGATTTTGTTTTCATAAAGCCATGTGCTGTCAGTTGAATTACATAGGTTCAATACGTTTTAGTTCCTTGATTCAGTTCACACCACATCAGTCTCAGGCGTGTGGGAAGGGGCTGCTTTAGCCTGTGACTGTAGTTTACTTCCCTCCGTCCTTTCTTTCATCATGGTTCTCTGCTTTCATAACTTCCATCCATTCATTTTTGCATATATTTCTTTCTTCTTTTTTTCTTGGAAAGCCAGTTTATAACAGAGGGAAGTAGAGATGGAAAGAAAGATCTTCTTTCCGCTGATTCACTCCCCAAGCAGCCGCCAACTGCTGGAGTTGAGCTGATCTGAATCCAGGAGCTTCTTCTTAGTGTTCCACGTGGGTGCAGGGTCCCAAGGCTTTGGGCCGTCCTCGACTGCTTTCCCAGGCCACAAGCAGTGAGCTGGATGGCAGGTGGAGCAGCCAGCAGGGAAACGAACGTGTGGGATCCTGGTGCGTGCAAGGTGAGGATGTAGCCACTGAGTCATTGCACCAGACCCAAGTTTTATTTTTTAATTGGATGGATTTTATTTTCTGTAAAGTTATATGCTGTCAGTTCAGTTATAGGTTAAATATGCTTTCGTCCATCTATTCAGTTTATATCACTTCAATCTTTCAATCTAAGAGTTGCTTTAGGCTCTTAGTTCCTTCCACGTGCCTCCTTCCTTCCTTGCCTCATGCGGCTCTATCTTCATTCTTTCTATTCATTCATCTTTGCAGACATTTCTTGAACTCCTATTACATGTCGTACGTTAAGCTGTATCTCTGTCAAGAGTTTCAATTTACCGTACACGTCTGAAATGCCGCAGTTTCCTGTGCGTCATGGAAACTCACATGAGCATTGGATAAGCATGCACCCCCACGGCTTTAGAATGTGACATCTGGAAGGAACGATTCAGGGTGGGTGTTGTGGTCTAGTATCTTCTTGAGTTGCCATCTGGGATACCCGCAGCCCATACCAGGGTGCTGCTTTGGATCCTGGCTGCTGCACTTCCAATTCGGGTGCTTCCTGATGCTTCTAGGAAACAGCTCCTGTCACCCATGTTGGAGAATCAGATCGAATTCCTGGCTCCTGGTTTTGACTTCGTCTGGCGCCTGCTTTTACTGGCATTTTGGGAGTGAATCAGCAGATGGAATCTCCTTTTGTTCCTCTCTCTCTGTCACTCTGCCTTTTAAATAAATACCTTTTTTTTTTTTTTTTTAAATGATCAGTGATCATTTGGGGAGAAGTCTAGAGAGAGTACCCGACGAAAACCTCATACTTACAGTGTTAAAAGTAGCTCGCAGTGATTCTAATTCTTGGGTAAGAAGCATATTCTTCTTCTGTTTAATTAGCAAACCACAGTTTCCAAAATTCCTGTGAGAGTGGAAGGATTCAAGTCATGTATTTATATGTGTGACATTTAAAAATTATAGATTCAGCTGTATTCCTCTGGCTTTGTTATGATGGCATGAAACATGCTTGTTTCCTGCAATCGGAATAGCCGAGTTTGAGTCCGGACTCATTCTGGGAGTCAATCAGCCGAGATGGTTTGCGTCACTGGGCTCCTGTCACCCTCTTGGGAGACCTTGGTGGAGTTCCTGGCTGCTGATTTTGGCCTCAGCCCAACCCTAGCAGTTGCAGGTGCTCTGCTTTCCCAGGCACATTTTTTTTTCCAAAAATATAATAAATTTATTACATATATTAAAAATACAATGGACTCATCAGGGAGCAGTAATTTCTCCCAGGCACATTTGTAGGGAGCTGCATTGGAAGCAGAGCAGCCAGAATTCCAACTGGAACTCTTCCAGGATGTCAGTGTTGCAGTGCCAGCCCCTCCTCGTTGTCTTAAACTCAACACAGTGTGGCTCTTTTACAATCCCTTCCTGGCTTGTGTGGCCAGCTGATTCTGTACTGCTGGAGGCAGACCTTGACATTTGAGAGAAACCCCCCGGGGACCTTTAAATTTCCACATTGTCAAATTGCTATAGATTCATATAACCATAGAGGCCCAGTGGTGACTGGCTGGCCAGCTACACTTCCGTTACCAGAGAACTTTGTGTCTCTCATGCATCCCAGCCCAGAATCAAGTATATTTTTGAGCTGTCAGACTTGTGCAAAAGCCTGGATCTGTAGGTCACTCTGTAGAGGTCAGCTCTGTCCCCTGAAACCTGAGAGCTCAAGGGTCCTGACTGACCGTTTCACTCTTTCAACGCTTCTAAGGCAGTTGGAGATTTACCCTTGGGGACTGGGTTCAGTTGAAATACTTGATATGTGATGTTTTGAAAAGTTAGCCTGGCCCACATGGATGGTTAAATTCTGAAATGGGAAGTTTCTGCATTGTACGTGCAGTTAGTTTTGATTTTGAGATACATCCCAGTAGGGAAATATATGGGATCTGTTTGGAAAGTGCTAATTATTGAACTTTGTAGATAAGTTCAGGATGGTTTGTACCATTAAAAACAACAGATAAAAGGGATAAGTGAGTGAAAAAACGTAACACTACTGAGGTGACTTGTGTTCGAATTAATATTGGAATATTTGCATACTTGGAACATTTCTTTCCCAAGCTGAGATCAGTTGCTCTTTGGTTTTGTATGTGTTTATCTCCGTGAATGCTTTTATAATGAGGTGTGATTGATCAATATTTCGAACTCGGGAAATAGGGAGAGTAATGTGCAAAAGATTTCCTGCACTGTTATGAGAGCAGTGATTTGTGTTTATCACGGAAGGATGACATTTGACTCTTACTGTTTTATGATGCACGCTAACATAGCTCAGCACCCGGAGTTTCTTCAGGGTTGCATGCCAAAAGCAGTGAAAAAAACTTGTGTTCTATTCCGTGTGATTACTAAACTTTAGCATTATCTTCTTACTGAGTGAATTAAAGAAATGCTTTTCTGCCTTCTTGTTCCTCAGTTTTTGTATTTTTTGACCTGACAGTAGATGATCAGTCAGTTTATCCTAAGGAATTAAGAGATGAATACATCATGTCCAAAACTCTCGGAAGGTAAATTTCTTTTGTAATTGTACTTCATTTTTTTCCCTACCCCTTTGTCATTGTTTTCTTTCCATTCCTAGTTTCATAACAGTGTCAATTTATAACATATATGTAAAGTGTATATTTGTGGTAAGTATGCTACTGGTTTCTCTGAACTTTCTTTTTTAAAGACTTATTAATTATTTTTTTTGGGGGGTGGGCAAGTCAGATATACAGAGAGGAGGAGAGACAGAGGAAGATCTTCTGTCCGATGATTCATTCCCCAAGTGGCCATAATGACCAGTGCTGCGTCGATCTGAATCCAGGAGCCAGGAACTTCCTCCAGATCTCCCACGCAGGTGCAGGGTCCCAAGGCTTGGAGCTGTCCTCGACTCCTTTCCCAGGCCACAAGCAGGGAGCTGGAAGGAAAGTAAAGTAGATGGGATATACACTGGCGACCATATGGAATCCTGTTGGATGCAAGATGAGGACTTTAACCAGTAGGCTATTGTGCTTGCCCAATAAGTAGTATTTTTAGTAAATTACTTTTAAAAGTTAATGAGGTAGCAGGTGTTTACCTAATGGGTAAAATGCGTTCCACATTGGAGTGCCTGAGTTCTATTCCCTGCTCTTGCTTCTAATGCTGGGTTCTTGCTAACGTGGACTGGTGATGGCTCAACTAGCTGGGCTGCTGTTTCCCTTACCGCATGCCATATACACAAGTAACTCAAAGTGGAATAAAGAGTAACGTGTAAGAGATAATATTTTAAAGTTCTTGGCAGAAAACAGCTCTTTATTACCTTGCATCTTTCAACCTTTTCTTTTTCTACTTTAAAGATTGATTTATTTGGAAGGCAGAATTGTAGAGAGAGAGAGAAGGAGAGACAGAAGAAAAGATATTTCCACCCCTTGTTCACTACTCAAATCGCCACACTGACTAGAGCTGTGCTAGATTAAAGCCAGGAATCTGAAGTTTCTTCTGGATCTCCTGTGTGGGTGCCAGGGTGCAACACGGGCCATCTTCCACAGCTTTTCCTGGTGACGTAGTTGGGAGCTGGATTGGAAGTGGAACAGCCAGGACTCAAACTGGTGGCCATATGAGATGTCTTCCCTCTGGGTGATAATTTGACTGGCTGTGCCACAATGACAGCCCCAGCACTGTTTTCTTAAATGTGACAAGAAGAGTACAAGCCATGAAAGAAAAATAGATAAGGTTCATCAACATTAGTTTTATTCATCAAAATGCTGTCAAGAGAATGAAAACAATCTATAGAATACAAAAATCTATGCAAATCGTATCTCTGATAAAAATCTATATGTAAAATAGATTTACAAATTGTTAGAACTCATCAACAAAAGGAGAATCAACCCTTACTTTTAAAATGGGCAAAGTAGGGCTTGGGACGGTAGTCTAGTGGCTAAAGTCTTTCCCTGGAACATGCCAGGATCCAATATGGGTGCTGGTTTTAATCCCTGCAGCCTCGCTTCCCATCCAGCTCCTTGCTTATATCTAGTTGAGGATGACCCAGGTCTTGGGACTTTGTACCCGTGTGGGAGGCCTGGAAGAAGTTGCTGACTCCTGGCTTCAGATTGGCTCAGATCCGGTACTTGTGGCCACTTGGGGAGTGAATCATCGGACGGAAGATCTTCCTCTCTGTCTCTCCTCTGTGTATATCTGAATTTGCAGTAAAAATAAGTAAGTCGTAAAAACAAAAAATCGGCAAAGTACTTGAACAGGCATTTCTCCAGAGAATACACAAATGGCTGGAAATGCCACACAAAGATGTTTAACACTAGTTCCTAGGGAAATGCAAATGAAAACTACCGTGAGATACCACTTTACGCCTACCAACTAGAATGACCAAAATAGACAAAAACAACACGAGGATGTGGAGAAATTAGAAGCCCCTGCCCTGCTAGTGGGATTGTAAGGTAGTATAGCAAATTGGATCACAGTATGATCTGAAAGTTAAATACAAACTTTTGAGTGAAATATTTTCCTGCAATGTATATATACTCGTGCATGTGTGTAGAATTGAAAACAGGTGTGTTCAAACAAAAGCCTTACATGAATATTCATAGCAGCTGTATTCAGAATGATGAAATCCAGTTATCTTTTTTTTTTTTACTGTCTTATGTTTTTGGTGGGTAATTCAAGTAATCATTTCCAGAAGGTAGAAGCAACCCATGTACATGGCCGTCAAGAAACGGATGGGAAATGGCGTTTTGCTTAGTGGTGAAGATGCCTGTGTGCCACTTTGAGTCCTGGCTCCGGCCTCTGACTTCGTGTTCCTGTTTGCTGCTAATGCATGCGGCTGAGATGGCTCAAATGTTAGAATTCCTTCCCTCCCACCCCGCTTTGTGGGGCACCTGGATTGTGTTCCTGGCTCCCAGCTTGGGCTCTGGCCCAGCCTTGCCCTTTGCAGGCAGTTGGGGAGTGACCCAGTGAATCAAAGCTAGCTTTTTTCTCTCTCTCTCTTTCTTTTTTTTTTTAAAACCTCTGTATCTCAAATAAATAAGCACAATGAAAAACAGATGAATGGATAAAGAAATATCCATACAGTGGAATGTTTAGCTGTAAGAAGGAATGAAGTGCTGATGTATATACTATTTGATGGGTGAACCTTGAAAACATTATGCTGAGTCCAAGAAGATAGAACAGGCAAATCAAAAGAGACAGAAAATCCGCGGATGCCAGGGGTTTAGCACAGGGTAGAATGAGAAGCGCCATTTCAAGCATTTAATTATTGAATGGTAAATACAGGGTTTCCATCTGAGCTGAAAAAGAGGTTCTAGAACTAGGTAGTGGTAGCTGGAGAACACTGAGAATGTATTTAATGCCACTGAATTGTATGCATCAAAATTAGTGCACCGATACATTTTATGCAGTGTGAAGAGTTTTATCTTACTTGAAAGTGTGACCGAGTTAATTGTATATCTAAATATATATTAGATTTATATAAAAGCATTTTCTTAATTTGAAAAAAATAAAAGATTTTCTTATTTGGAAGGTAGAGTTCAGAGAGGAGAGATAGAAAGAGATCGTTCATCTGCTGGTTCATTCCCGAAATGGCACAATAGCCAGTGTTGGCCAAAGCCAAGAGGAGCCTGGAACGCCGTCCAGATCTCCCGTGGGAGTGGAAGCAGAGATTGGACTTGATCCCAAGCACCCCCCTTTTTTTTGTATTATTAATTTTATGATTTTTATATAGTTCATTAGGGTGATAAGGGTCAAGGGCTACAGGAAGGTGGGTGAGATCTCTTTTTTTTTTCCCCCATAATCTCTCTTTTTCCTTCTTGTATCTGGAGGGAAGGGGTGAGGAGCACCACACCCATGAGAGAAGCCACATCCAGCCTCCCCCCAATCGCCTCTGCATCTGGGATGGAGGACAGCTACCCGTCACCATCCCAGGGTCCCCGATGGTGGGGCATGCTCGGAGGGTCCTGCTCAAGAGGTTTTGATAGTTAGGCATTTCTGAATTACTACCGATCTTGTCATTCCAAGCATGATGAAATTGCTCCAGAATCCAGTGGTTGACATAGTCCACCCTAGAGTCTCTGTTTGCCCAGATATTCACTGCCAACACTTGGCTGGGGTATTTGATCAATTTGTTCTGTCCTCTGTCATGGTACCAGGTGTCCTCTGCAGGCTCCAATATACTGCTGAATCCTCCTCAAAAGTACTCTTACTACATGGTACAGCTGTCATAAGCATCAGCTTAACTTGCTGTCGCCTTTGATAGATATTTGATACAATAAAAATGTGTCTTCAGTGAATGTTTGGCTTGTTACTGGGATGCTGGTTGGGATCCCCATGTTCCATATTGGGGCATCTGAGTTTGATGTCTGCCTCTGGTTCTTTCTTCTGTCTTCCCATTAGTGTACATCCTAGAAGGCAGCAGGTGCTGGCTAACATAACCTGGAATACATGGATTGAGTTCCTGGCACAAGCTTTGGCCTCAGCTCAGCGTTGGCCATCCTGAATAGTTAGTGGGGAGTAAACCAGTGGATTAGGAGATTTTTGCCTCTAAAGTGTATGCTCTTTGGTTGTGAAAAGATGTTTGGATTAACCCCCATTTCCTGAAAACTCATAATAGTTAGGGTGGTCCATTTCAGACAGGTAATGGTGATGGATCATCTGGAGGCCATTGACTTGGTTTCCCAAAACTTTGGAGAGCAGAGGCCATTAACAGTAAGTGTATGCTGCGTAATATTCTAGATAGCATTCTTACTCCATTAGTTGAATCATAGTGGCAAATATTTATGAAAAGTTGCTTTAAGCTGGTTAATTATGTGATATTTTTGGCTTCTTATGTATTCTGATTTAAGATGCTGTTCATTTCTCCATTGGCTTACATGCTAGCCTAAAAGGTAACAGAATAGGAAGGAAAAGAAATGTATTAATGCAATTGATTTTTACTTATTGATTGGGATTTTTTTTTGTTTGAAAGATAAAGTTAACAGCAGAGAGAGGGGAGAAACAGAGAGATCTTTATGCCCGTGTTCACACCCCAAATGGCTGCAATAGCTAGAGCTGGCCCAGAACAAAGCTAGGAGCTAGAAGCTTCATCCAGGTCTCCCATGTGGCTAGCTGGGTCCCAAGCACTTGGGCAATCCTTCACTGATTTTGCAGGTACATTATCAGGGAGCTGGGTCAGAAGTGGACCAGCCAGGATTTGAACTGGTATGTATATGGGATGTTGGTGCTGCAGGTGGTGGCTTTACCTGCTGTGTTATAGCACTGAGGCATACTTAAAAGATTTATTTATTTATTTGAAAGGTACAGTGAGAGAGCAAAGAGGGGAGAGACGGAGAGAGCCTGCATCTTCTGGTTCACTTCTCAAATTGCCACAACAGCTAAGGCTGGGCCAGATTGAAGCCCGAAGTTCTATCTGGTCTACTTTGGGGGTGACAGGATCCCTGAAGCACCCCAGCCATTTTCTGTTGCCAGGGACCAAAGTACTTGAGCCATCACCACCTGCTGCCTGCCAGAGTCTACACTGGCAGGAAACTGGGATTAGGAGCTGGAGCTGCCACTCCAACCCAGCTACTCCATATGGGAGGCCAAGTGTCTGCCCATGGGTCCTCGTTTTTCGTCAAGGAAGACTGTTGCTATTATCCTGGCCTTGAGGATTAAATGATTTTTCATCATGGCTCTGTCTTTCTGAGAATTTTGCACTGAGGAGCTGCAGGAAGGCATAAGGCCGTTATTGGTCCCCTCAGAAGTGGAATTGGGAACCCACCCAGGGCCGTGGGATGGCTCACATGCACTTGGGCCCTTGACCTTTGCCATCTGACGCAGGGTCAAGGGAAGGATTGCTGTATGGACCATCTGTGATGCTCAGTACTTGAGCCAGCTCAGGAGCATCAGGGTCATTTTGGAAACCTGACAGTCTGTCTCTCTTTCCCTTTAGCGGTGCTTGTGGAGAGGTGAAGCTTGCTTTCGAGAGGAAGACATGCAAGAAAGTAGCTGTGAAGATCATCAGCAAAAGGAAGTTTACAATTGGCTCTTCAAGAGAGGCTGTAAGTGTTTGTGTTTCTAGCTACTCACCTGCTCTCTTCTCTGTCTTTTTTTTTTTTTTATTAAGATTTATATATTTTATTTGAAAGGCAGAGTTACAGAGAGGGGAAAGGAGAGGAGAGAGATCTTGCATTCCCTGTTTCACTCCCCAAATGGCTGCAGATGGCTAGGACTGGGCCAGAATGAAGCCAACAGTTTCTTCTGGGTCTTCCACATGGGTGCAGGAGCTCAGCACTTGATTCAGCTGCTGTTGCTTTCCAAGGGCTTTAGCAGGGAGCTGTATCAGATGTGGAGCAGCCTGGAACTGAATTGAAGCCTGTGTGGGATGCCGATGTTGTAAGTGGTAGCTTAGCTTACTAGGTCACAGCGCTGGCCCTTCACCTATTCATTATAGTTTCCTGTAACATTTCCAATTTAAAAATATATATTTTTTTATTTCTTTGAAAGGCATTTACAGAGGGAGTATGGAAAGAAAGAGAGGATGAGACAGAGAGAGAGAGAGAGAGATGGATTTTCTATCTGTTCAAGTTACTGGTTGCCTACAACAGCCAGGGCTGGGCCAAGCCAGACCAGGACCTTGGAATGCTTGAGCCGTCATCATCCACTGCTTTCCCAGGTGCATTGGCAGCATGTTGAATCAGATGCAGGTTAGCAGAACTCCAATTGGAACTCCGAGGAAGTGCAGGCATCCCAAGCCATGGCTGAACCCCTGTGCCACATTGAGTGACCCTTCTCCCCCCCAGGAAGAGCTGATGCTCAGATCTGGGCATCTGAACATCAAAAAACACAGAACATTCTTGAGTATCTTTGGGTCATCTAGGAACTCTTGCTTGTAACTTATTTTTTTTTTTAATTTTTTTTAAAAAGATTTATTTTTATTATTTTTTTATTGGAAAGGCGGAGAGACAGAGAGGAGAGACAGAGAGGAAGATCTTCCGTCCGATGATTCACTCTCCAAGTGAGCGCAACGGCCAATGCTATGCCAATCCGAAGCCAGGAGCCTCTTCCGGGTCTCTCACGCGGGTGCAGGGTCCCAAAGCCTTGGGCCGTCCTCGACTGCTTTCCCGGGCCACAGGCAGGGAGCTGGAAGGGAAGCAGGGCTGCCGGGATAGAACCGGCGCTCACATGGGATCCCGGGCGTGCAAGGCGAGGACCTTAACCACTTGCGCCACGGCGCTGGGCCTGCTTGTAACTTATTCTTAAAATATTGGGTCCTACCTAATCCTCTACATAGTAGAAAGTTTTTTCTCTTTCAAGTTCAAAGTTGTTACAAGACTTCCTCACCTTCATGAAAAGAAAAGAGGGAAGAGCAGGCTTGTCGCAGTTCACTGTCACCACAGCTGGTTCCGGTTTCCCTAACCCTCGTAGTCTTTGTTCACATGCATTCCTGTTCTTAGATGCTCAAAATCCTATTGAACATACAGATTTGTATTGTGCTTTTCCACATACACATCGCAGCCTATGCTCTCCCCTTTTCCACGCCACATCTTCTTTTGCTGATTGAGTCCCTTGCTTCATAAACGTTGTCTTAATTGACTCTACTTTTTGTCTCCTTGATCTCCTGGCGGCCACTGCAGGTATTTCACTGGGTCTCAGGGATGAATGTCAGAGTAATTACAGAGTTTTACATTTTTAATGAAGTCATGAACGCTCTGTGCAGTCACTGGTCATTTCACTACACTTTCCTGTACTCCACATGGTCTGTAAGGGCGATATGGCTGAATGTATTGGTCTTTTCACAGCTGACCCAAGAAAGCAATGTGTAACCCAGCCCCAATCATACTTCCCTTCGTGGCCAGCTGCTTCTGGCTATTATGCTTTAACATTCCTTTAAGATTTTTTTTTTTCCCTTAGACAATGCCTGGCTCACATAGCCAAGAGGGATTTCCTTTCTGTGTCCACTTGGTTATAAATCTTTTCCTGTGTGATTCTGGATTTCATTTTGGGGAGAGGAAAATGATCTATCCGACTGTTAGAAACTTGGAGTCCATGTTTACGTCCTGATTTCGTTCTTTGAATCCCACGGGGCTCTTTTCTGACCTCTCTATGATCGGAGTATTAGCACCCCGGCTTCATAATGAGTTTAGTGGCTTACAGGAAGAGGCAGGCTCTTAAACATCTGGCTCTCTGAGCCAAAGTACGTTTTACATAAATGTGAAATTCTATACCCTCTTGGTGGAGGGTGTTGCTTGGGAGGTTAACTTACTCAAGTCCTCCTTCCTGTAGGGATTGTAACAGAACAGCCTCAATCCCCCCCGCACCTTCCTCTCATCAGAGCTTCAGTGAATACTTGGATGTTAGCCTGTAGTTCAGGCTGCGGCCTGCACCTGGGATCTGCTCCATTATTACATATATGACTTTGGTTTTATTTCCTCTTAGTGAGATTCATTTCTTTATTGAAAAAGAACAAGAGAGAGAGAAGCAGAAAAAGATCTCACTTTCCAGTTGCCTGTAACAGCGAGGTCAGGTCCAACTCTCTCATGTGGCTAACAGGGCATCTTTGATCCACTGCTTGGGCCAGTGATCCACTATCTTCCCTGGGGCGTTAGCAAGAACTTGGGTCGAAATACCCAGAACCTAAACTGGCACTCCGATATGGGATGTGGGTATCACAGGTAACAAGTTAGCTCACGGTGTCACAACACCAGCCCTGCCATTTTTGTCAGTTTAGTTAGGTTACCTTCTTGTTCATAATTGTTATCGTTTTTCATTACACAGCCCACACAGCCCCTCCCTCCTCCTCCCCCGCTTCCCTTCTTACCTGTGTCTTCCCAGGCCCCTTTCTTTTATCCCTCCCCCTGCCCTGGCAGCCCCGATCCTGCCACCACGGCAGGAGACATGTCCCTTCTAGTTTTCTCCTCCTTAATCCCTGTTCCCATTCCTACCCTGCTGGAATAAAGGACCTATTAAGCACCTTAAAAAAATAATCGTTATCATTTTTATAAATAAAAATGCTTCTATAGCTAATGGCTCACGTCAGTCACCTGTTAACTTATTAGTTGAAAATAGAGGATTACACTTATTTCTGATTGTGGGCCCCTGGGTAGTGGCAGCCCTTGTCCATGCCTCACTTCCATCTGTCAGATGAGGGTAATAGTAGAATTCAGTTCGTTTGGGAAATTCTGAGGCTTACATGAGATTATTTATCCTAAATAAAGAGCAAGGCTAGCATTGTGTAGTGGTTAAGCTGCCACCTACAAATGCTGGTATCCCATATGAATGCTAGTTCAAGTTCTTGCTGTTCTGTTTCTAGTCCACCTCCCTGCTAATACCCTGGGAGGGCCTGGTGCGGTGGCCTGGTAGCCTAGTGGCTAAAGTCCTTGCCTTGAATGCGCCGGGATCCCATATGGGTGCCAGTTCTAATCCCGGCTGCCCCACTTTCCATCCAGCTCCCTTCTTGTGGCCTGGGAAAGCAGTCAAGGACGGCCCAAAGCCTTGGGACCCTGCACCCGTGTGGGAGACCTGGAGGAAGTTCCTGGATCCTGATCCGCACAGCACCCACCGTTGCTGTCACTTGGGGAGTGAATCATCGGACAGAAGCTATTTCTCTCTGTCTCTCCTCCTCTCTGTATATCTGACTTTGCAATAAAAATAAATAAATCTTTTAAAAAAAAAAATACCCTGGGAAAGCAGGAATGGGTTCCTGTTACCCATGTGGGAAACTGGCTCTTTCTTGACTTTGGCATTCCTGAGTCCAGACAGTTGGATCCTTTTGGTGAGTGAGCCAATGATTGGAAGATGATTTTTCTGTCTCCTTTCCCTCTGACTCTGTAACTTTGTTTGCCAACTAACTCAGTCTCCTTCCCTGACACCCGCCCTCCCCCAGATAGCTTGGCTATAGAAAAAGCTTGCTGTTTGCCAAGTGTTTTGCAAGTAATTTCAGTGGGTTATTCAATTTTATTTAATTCATTGACCCCTGGGTCTTGATTTCTTTGTATGAATAGAGTTGGGTTTGGCACGCAGACAGCTTTTTCTCAGCTAGCTTTAACTCTAAATAATGTTGGCTGTTGTGATTGTTCTTGTTAATAATTTTTATTACTGTTCGTGTTAATGACTTCTACATTTTTCTTTTTATCCAAGGATCAAGCTCTCAATGTTGAAACAGAAATAGAAATTTTGAAAAAACTAGATCATGTAAGTAATATGAAAAATAGGACCCAGGCTTAAATTTATTTAACTTATGAGAGGAGAAAATAATTTCCTTATTATTTTCTTATTACATACAATAAGCCTAGTATTTACCTGAGTTCTTAAATTTGTGTGTGTGTATGCGCAAGTGTCTATCAGATATTTAGCTGTGAAGAATTTATCCTTTGCATTTTGAGGCTTTTGTACTGTATAAAGATTTAAAAATGAAATAAATTTTGTCTTTGCATTGATGCAGTTCTTGACCAGAAGGCACAGGATTCGTTTCATCTCAGGTGGATTTAACAAACTGTGTTTGTGAGTGCACAATGCTAATTTTAATAACAGTTTAACTGTATCTGAAGTACCAGCACCTTTAAATACCTTTTATTTGGAGATATTTAAAGTGTATCTAATAATTATGAGAACATCCTTTATATTATTTGGTGTCAGTGACCTTTTAGGATGTATACAGTTCTTCTAATTCTTGTGCAATGATAGTTTTATCCCAATGGACAATGTGACTGAAAATGTAGTTCAACCTGGAACAAGGACAAAGTCTCTCTTTATTTTTTAAAATTAATTAAAAGCGGTGAAATAGAGAAACCTCCCACCTTCTGGTTCACTGTTCCATTGCAATGACTGGGGCTAGGCTGGAGTTGCGAGTGGGAATTCAGTCCAGGTCTCCATGTGGGTGCAAAGAGCTGCTACTTGAACTTCCTTGCTGTATCTTGGGGTCTGCCCTGGCAGAGTTGTGTGTCATACCCTGGCACACCCCTACGGAACGTCAACATAATTTATTGTTGTTGCTGTTTTTGAAGGTTTATTTTATTTCTATTTGAAAGTCAGAGAGAAAAAGGAAAAGACGGAGATCTTCCATCAGCTAGATTAATCCTGACCAGAGAAGCCGGATGCTTTACTCACAAGGTCAAAATGGGAATCTGGCAAACCGTATGCTTTAAGTGTGCGGAGTTCACTATAGGAGATAGAGACCTGCTGCTTCCTAACTTCCTTTCTCTGTATGACCCATGTGGAGAGTTTGCGTTAGTCTCCTGTGGTTCCTAGCAGAGAGACACCTGTGGCTGTGAGAGTGTGACGGGTTGTGACGGGCTTGGTGATCCCTGCTGATAGGTTGGATTTTAACAGCGAGGAATGAAGGTCCTACATTGTTCTTTCTTCTTGCCTTTTCATTCCTTCCCTTTGCTTCAATGATGTAAGTTCTTATGTAATTATATACTTTCTCAAAATTTGAATAAAAAAGGTTTTCTTGGACTTGGACCCATAGTCTAGTTGGTTAAGTCTTCGGTTGTGGTGCCAGCTTCCCATATGGGCAGTGGTTTGAGTTCTGGCTGTTATATTTCCAATCTAGCTTCCTGATAATGTTCTTGAGAAAACGGTGAAACATGGCACTGGCTTTTGGTCCCCTACACCCACATGGGAGACCTGGAGGAAGCTCCAGGTTCCTGGCTTCAGTTTGTTCCAATTCTGGCCATTGTAGCTATTTGGGGAGTGAACCATCTCTCTTTCTCTCTGTCTCCTTCTCTCTCAGTAAACCTGCTTTTCTTTTTGTGAGATTCATTTATTTTGATTTGAATGGCCGATGTTGCAGAGAGAGAAGGAGAGACAGATCTTCCATTTGCTGATTCACTCCCCAAATGACTGCAATGGCCAGGGCTGAGCAGCTCTGAAGCTGGGTGTCTTCTCTGGGCCTCAAAAGCAGAGAGAGAGAGAGCGAGAGAGAGCTCTCATCCACCAGATGGTGCACTCTTTATAAATGGCCTCATTGGCTGGAGCTGGACCAGGCTGAAGTCAGCAGCTTGGAGCTGCATCAGGATGGATGACACTGTGGGTGTCAGGTGCTCAAGCTTGTGAGCCATTTTCCACTGCCTTCTCAGGTGTATAAGCAGGGAGCTAGATAGGAGGCAAAGCAGCTGGGACTTAAACTGGGGTTCTGATATGGGATGCCGGGGTACAAGCAGTGGTTAACCCTCTGTACCATGATGCCAACCATTCCATGAACTTTTTGAAGACCCCTTGCATGTATATATTTAAAAAATATTTGTACTAAAACGCATTTGTGTCTTAATTTCATGTTCCAATAAACTTTCTGAAGTGCCCTCGCTTAACTCTCACCAGCTTGTTGGGGTAGAAAGTGTCTTCCAAGTTGTCATTGAGGAGTCAGTTAGGTTATCTTTGGCTTTTTCCCCTCACTTGAACTTCAGAGCCTGTGAAGGAAGGGGGTCCAACAGCCTTGGCTCTCCAACCAGATGTCTCAAGTTCTATTGCTGTGTACTCCTGAAAGTTTCTCACCATTTTCATTTTCTCCTTCCTCTTTTAGCCTTGTATCATCAAGATTAAAAACTTTTTTGATGCAGAAGATTATTATATTGTTTTGGAATTGTAAGTAATAAACTTTTTAAATTTGTTGGTTCTATTTAAATTCATACTAATCGGCTAAGACCTGAAGGCAGGACCCTCAGTGGCTATGTATGTGAGTGAGGCCGGAGAGAGAGAGAGAGAGAAAGAGAGAGAGAGAGAGACTGACTGTATGTGTGTGTGTGTGGAAAGAGGGGGTTAGCATCAAGTTTAACAAACCTTCAGTGTTTCCGCAGGCCGATAGTCTTGGATTCCAGGCCCTATGAAATGTACTTTGTAATTAACTAGCGCCCTTCCCACAGATAGATTTGCTTCATTTCTGTACCTTGTTTTGTTGGCATCAGATGGGGCTAACAGTGATACCCCACCCATGTACAGAGTACCTGTGAGGATTAAATACTCAGAACCCACAAAGGCCCTAGCAGAGCATCTGGCACACCTAGGCTTCCACCCAGCCATGGGTTGAGGTCATCCTTTTGAAACACCTGCCTGGGTGGATCACTTTGTGCTGAATCCTGAGCCCTGGCTACTTAGCATCCAAATATCTTTTAATGTCTTGCTTGCTTATTGAAAGGCCATCACATCTTGTGTAGCGTGGCTGAAATAATTTCCTTTCTGGTTGCTGGGAGACATCTATCTAGAGGTTCCCTTCTGGCATAAATGCCTAGGCTTTCTGGGGAGCCACTGCTGTGGCAGGCAGGGGACATTTTGCTACTACTGGATGGCCGACAGCAATTGATCATGAAGATGACCTAGATGATACAGCCTGGATCATAGGTCCAGGAGAGACTGGGGGCGTTTGTGTTGCCTAATGGGAGAGTGTTAACTGACTAGATCTAGTTAGCACAGTTGAATGAGGGTGATAATGGTGCAGTCACTGTAGCTGATGCTCATGGAGCACCTGCCACAATTCATGTCCCGCGTACTGCGCAGCGTATTGTGAAGTATCTCAGAAACGAACACAAAGGGTCAACTCACTTGTCCTTCACAACTGTTTGTTACCTACAGGTGGAAGATGGGTTACTATTTGTAGCCCCACTTGCAGGAATGGGAATCCCAGAGGGATGGCACCTGCACTTGTCAGCTTCTCTACCTAGATAGATTTCTTCATTTTTTTTGTAACTATTGCAGAAGAAGGTACATCCCCATTGCTTAAGGTCAGCTTACACTTCTCCAAAACGCCACAGCTAAAGAGTAAAAGAGCTGAGGTTCAGACCCTAGTTTTCTGAGGTTTATTTGTGCATTTAAAAGGCAGAGTTATAGAAAGAGGGAGAGAGAATATCTTACAACTGTTGGTTCACGCCCTATATGGCCACAATAATGGGGCTGGGCCAAGCCAAAGCTCAGAACCTTGTCTTGGCTTCCCCCGTGGGTGTCATGGACCCAGGAACTTGGGCCATTTTTTGCTGCTTTCCCAGATGTGTTAATAGGAACTATATCAGAAGTGGAGCAGATGGGACTCCAACCGGCAGTGCTGCAGTGCCGCAGGCTGAAGCTTAACCCACTGTGCTACAGACTTATTTGGAAGCCAGTTTTTTATTTGTTTGTTAAAAAATTTATTTTATTTTTATTGGAAAATTAGATATATAGAGAGGGGGAGAGACAGACAGGAAGAGCTTCCTTCTACTGATTCACTCCCCAAGCAGCTACAACAGCCGGAGCTGGGCCAATGCAGAGCCAGGAGTCTCTTCTGGGTCTCCCACGTGGGTTCAGGGTCCCAAGGCCTCGACTGTTTTCCAAGGCCATAAGCAGCGAGCTGGATGGGAAACGGGGCTGCTGGGATTAGAACCACCGCCCATATGGGATCCTGGAGCAGGCAAGGCGAGGCCTTTAGTCACTAGGCTACACAAGGCCCAGAGTTTTAAGGTCCTGCTTGCTCTTCGGAATCAGTGTGACTTTCATCTGAAGTGCAGGATAAACATGAATATTCCTGGGCCTCTCATTTAATGATTAGGATTTTTTTAAAAAGGTCCCTAAATCAATCAATCTATCTATCTATCTACTTTTCTTTCTTTCTTTTTTTTTTCTTTGTTTATTTTTACTTTAAAGTCAGAATTACAGAGATAGAGAGAGGGAGAGACAAAGAGATCTTCCATCTGTTGCTTCACTTCCCAAATGGATGCTACAACCAGAGCTGAGCTGGTCTAAAGATGGAAGCTCGAAGCTTTTTCCATATCTCCCTAGGGAGTGCCAAGGCCCAGGCACTTAGCCTGCCCTCTGTGGCTTTCCCAGGCCATTAGGGAGCTGGATCAGAAGTGGAGCAACCAGGACTTGAACTGGTGCCAATATGGGATGCTGGCACCACAGGCATTGGATTACCATGCTGATCCCACCCTAAATATTTCTAATGTCCATTTCTTTTCTTTTTTTTTTTTCTTAGTATCTATCCTATTTATTATTTACTTGAAAGGTTGAGTTACAGAGAGAGGAGGAGAGACAAAGAGATAAAGATCTTCCATCCACTGGTTCACATTCCACATGGTTGCAGTTTTTAGGCCTGGGCCAGGCAGGAGCCAGGAGCCAATAGTGGCATGGACTGAAGTACTGGAATCTTCTTCTACTGCTTATCAGGCTTATCATCTGGTAGCTGGATTAGGTCTTAAACCAACACCCATGTGGGATGCTAGGGCTATAGAAGGAGGCTTAATTTGCTGTTCCGCAACACTGGTCTGGTCTTATTAGCTTGAAACACAGGAGTCAAGATTGAATGGCACCTGTCTCTTTTCGCAGTAAGAAGCAGTTCAAGGAATGAAGCTGCCTTTTTGCCCGTGTGTTTCAGGATGGAAGGAGGCGAACTGTTCGAGAAGGTGGTGGGGAATAAACGCCTGAGAGAGTCTACCTGCAAACTCTACTTTTACCAGATGCTCTTGGCAGTGCAGGTAAGACAACCCTTATTTTTTTTTTATTTAGAAACGTACTTTCCTTTTAGAGGAATTAGAGAAGCTGAGGGACTGGGTTCAAGTGCTCAAAGAAGAGTATCTGGGCATTGGTTTTTCTGTTCTTGGCAAAAACACACCCTGTTGACGAAGAAGAAAAAGCTCTCACTGGGAAACTAAGCCACAGTCAAGAAGAGGAATTAAGGAAATAAACATGTGGTTCCATGTCTCTTCTCTGTGTCCTGGACATAGCTCTGGAAGGTCTTTGCTGTCTGCCTGATCCTTGTGTGCATGTCGCTTAACTTTTGGAGTGAAAGCTGTGATGGTTTGAGGGCAGCTGGCAAGCTTGGGCTGCTTGGGCCTGGTTGCTTCCCATGGCTTAGTAGTAGTAGTAACACAAAACTAGAACAGGATTACCTAAAAAAATTTTTTTAAAGATTTATTTATTTTAATTTAAGCAGAATATTTACAGAAAGAGAAGGAGAGACAGAGAGAGGACGTCTTCCATCCGCTGGTTCACTCCCCAAATGGCTGCAGTGGCCAGAACCGAACTGATCTGAAGCTAGGAGCTAGGAGGCAGGAACTTCCTCCTGGTCTGCCATGTGGGTACAGGGTCCCAAGGCTTTGGGCTGTCCTCTACTGCTTTCTCAGGCCATAAGCAGGGAGCTGGATCTAAAGTGGAGCAGTCAGGACATGAATTGGTACCCATATGGGATGCTGGCACGAGTAGGAAGTGGATTAAGTGGCTATGTCCCAACAGGCTTGTTTCTTAGGGAATAGAAATCAATACCTCCACCAGAAGAGGTTGTCATCCAGAGTAATTTATTTATAGCAAATAAAGAGACCTCAGGAATCATTTTCAGATCAGACACTTCTGAAGAAACTGGAAGTGGACTATCTTTTATTTTTGAGGAAAATTATATGTGAGGTGGGAATTTCTTGTCATTCCACATAGGCAGGTTCATGCAGCGGTGGGGTTTGGAGCATCTTCTAGCATGTTGCATGTTACATTCAGGTAAAGTGGCAGCTCGTCTTGGGGCAGAAATCTTAGCATTAAAAGATCCATCAGTCAGTCTAGCTGTTGTCCTTGGAAGTCAGGACTAGACGGTTCAGGATAGCCGAGGATGGCGTCTTTGCTCACAACAACTGAAAAACCTGGACAGCAGCTTTGAAAAGCCTCGGGTACAACTTTTGAGGTTTGGAAGTTGAAACGAAGCACCAATAAAATTGCCTGAGTACCCAGGGCGTTGGCTGCTGACACTAGGCACTCTCTGCAGGTGCACCTCCAGCATCCCGGTAACTGTGGGCAAGGTGGCAGCGCAGGTGTGCACTGAGTGTGTTGAAAGGACCAATAGCTGCTGGCCCTCTGCTCCAAGGATTCCCATTTCCCAAATTTGGTCTTGGTGGTTCCCTCCCAAAGTCTTTCTTTTCTCCCTTTTCTCTCTTTTGGAAAATCCACTCCAAGCAGGAAGAGCAGTGATTTAGGGGGACAGAGTATCATTTTCAGGGGAATTGGTCTGTCTGGGTTTACCCTCTCTTAAGTGTTCACCAGACCGATTTCCCAGTGAAAGATTCTGGGGTAACTTTGGGATGAGTTTTTTTTTTAGAAATTATAATTCTTTTTATTTTTGATGCTTTTTATAAAGGTGATTAGGGCGCAAAGAGTCAAGGGCTACAGGAAAGTGGGTGAGATCATTTGGGCGGCCCGTGGCTTCTCAGCAGTGCACCGCCACCAGGGCAGCTCCCTCTGCAGGCCTGAGGCCTTCGCAGCCTTTTACAGTACCAGGGCCAGGGCTGGGACTGTCAGAGAAAACAGCCCCCAAGACCCCAGCACGAGTTTGCAGGGGCCTGCCAACAGTCTTGAGCAGCAAAACCCAACGCTCACCGAGCTCGGGGCTCTCTTATTTCCACATCCTCTTTTTTCCCTTCTTGTATGTGGAGGAAAGGGAGAAACAAGGAAAAAGCCACATCCAGTGTCCCAAACACCTCTGCATCCTGAGATGGAGGAGAGCCATGTAACACCACCCCAGGGTCCCCGATGTGGGGCGTGCTCAGAGGGTCCTGCTCAGGAGGTTTTGATAGTTCAGCAGTTCTGAATTACTGCTGATGTCGCCACTCCAAGCATGATGAAATCGCTCCAGAATCCAGTGGTTGACATAGTCCACCCTAGAGCATGGCTGGGGTATTTTTTTTTCTTTTCTTTTCTTTTCTTTTTTTTTTTAAGATTTATTTTATTTATTGGAAAGTCAGATATACAGAGAGGAGGAGAGACAGAGAGGAATATCTTCCGTCCAATGATTCACTCCCCAAGTGAGCGCAATGGCTGATGCTATGCCGATCCGAAGTCAGGATCCAGGAACTTCTTCTGGGTCTCCCACATGGGTGCAGGGTCCCAAAGCTTTGGGCTGTCCTCTGCTGCTTTCCCAGGCCACAAGCAGGGAGCTGGATGGGAAGTGTAGCTGCCGGGATTAGAACCGGCGCCCATATGGGATCCCGGCACGTTCAAGGTGAGGACTTTAGCCACTAGGCCATGCCACTGGGCCCAATATGAACCAGTGTTGAGATGGGATGCCAGTGGTTGCAAGGTGAGGATTTAGCCACTAGGCTACTGCAGTAGGCCCCCAATTTTTCCTTTTCTTTTTCCTTCCTTCCTTCTTTCTTTTAAAGTTTTATTTATGTATTGTCAGATTTACAGAGAGGAGGAGAGACAGAGATAAATAAAGATCTTCCTTCTGCTGATTCACTTCCCAAGAGGCCCCAGTGGTCAGAGCTGAGTTGATGCAAAGCGAGGAGCTTCTTTCCGATCTACCATGCAGGCACATAGTCCTGAGGGCCTGTACCATCCTCCTCTGTTTTCCCAGGCCACAGGCAGGGACCTAGAAAGGAAGTGGGGCACCATATGGCATCAGGGCATGTCTAAGGTGAGGATTTAGCCACTAGGCTCTCAACACCAGGCCCCAATTTTTGTTTTCTTAGAGATTTCCTTTTATCTGAATTTATAAACAGCATCCCTTCTTCCCTTCACTGTTTCTTTTTTTTTTGTCCATGACTTTGGAAAACATGGTTGTCTGGTTTCATTCAGTTGTCAAGATGTGTGTTGTTAACTGTCTCTACTCGTGTACCTATTGTATTAAATGCAAGGTCTTCCTCCCCTTTCTGTGTAGTATCTTCATGAAAATGGCATCATACATCGTGACTTGAAGCCGGAAAATGTCCTGCTCTCGTCTCAGGAAGAGGATTGTCTCATAAAGGTGAGAAATGGATGGTCTGTAGGTCATCATTTCAGATTTCGTTTAGAATCTTCAAAATTCTTCCATTCAAAGGGGAGCATACAAATATTGAGAATCTCATTTTTCTTGTTTTACCAGTTTTATGTTTTTTACTTAGTTGAAAGGCGGAGACAGAGAGTGAAGATGTGCGAGTGAGTGGGCTCTCCTTTAAGGCCTACAACTGCCAAAGCTAGCCAGTAACCCTGTCTGGATTTCCACCAGGATGGGGCCGCCGGGATTGGAACCGGCATCTATATGGGATTGTGGCTCATTCAAGGCAAGGAATTTTAGGCACTAGGCTATCGTGCTGTCCCCCTCCCCTGTTCATAAGTCTTTTGGGACTGGCAGACTATGTTCTTCATTATATATATGTGCTATATATATACCACACACACATAATCTATATGATGTATGTTCATATTATTATATCTGTTGTTCCCTTTTGTGCTTAATTTCAGATAACTGATTTTGGGCAGTCCAAGATTCTGGGGGAGACTTCCCTCATGAGAACCTTATGTGGTACCCCCACCTACTTGGCCCCTGAGGTTCTTCTGTCCATCGGAACAGCTGGGTATAATCGTGCCGTGGACTGTTGGAGTCTGGGAGTCATCCTTTTCATCTGGTAAGAAAAGCTTTCATTGTCGCCCTCACAGGCTGGTTGGATGTGATTAGATGAAATCATGCATCAGCATGTTCAGGTGGAGATTCCGGGTTTAATTGAGGCCACTTTTTCAGCCATTGAAGTAAAGAAATACTCGATTTTTCATGATAATGAAAAAGACATGCGTATATCTAAATGCCACTGAAAATGCCACTTGATTTCTCTTCCTTTCTCTTTCTACCAATATTAAGCCTTAGTGGGTATCCACCTTTCTCTGAGCATAAGACTCAAGTGTCACTGAAGGATCAGATCACCAGTGGAAAATACAACTTCATTCCTGAAGTCTGGGCAGATGTGTCAGAGAAGGGTATGGATACGAAAGGGTTAAGAGTGTGTGATTTGCCAAAGGAAAAAAAAAACCAAAAAAACAAAAACCCTGCTTTTGTGTGTGTATGTGTATGTGTGTGTGTGTGTATGTATGTGTGTGTGTGTGTGTGCACTCATGCGTGCCTGGGTGCTGATGTGGGAGCCTTTCTTCAAATCCTGTGATGTCTTCTGTTACTTCTGTCCTTAGCTTCTATTGTTAAGTTGTGCACCATTTGAAAAGCAGTGGAAATTATTGAAAGAGTCCTGGATCTGCTACTTCCTAGCTGTCTGGCCTAGGCAAGTGATTTAACCCCTCCCAACCTCCATTTTCTGTATTTGTCAGCTGGGCCTTAATAACCCATACTTTATGAGGTTTTTTGTGAGGCGTAAATTATCCTTTATGTAAGTGCCTGTTTCCCAGTTGAATGTGAAAAAAATAATAAGTAACTTCAGTTGCAAAGTTTTCTTACGTTTGTAAAAGTGAGAAGGCCTTTGGTAGTTACCTTGTGTTTTATAACTTAAAAATGCAACCTTGTAACTCCCTGAAGAAAAAGTAGAAAATGAAAACTAAGTGTCAAATAATGCAACCTAGGGGATTGCGTTAAATGTCTGCGTGTTTAAGGGATAACATTGTTGCAGGAGACAAGCCCAACTCCAATTGTTGCTTGCTGGAGTAGCATACTCCTGGCTGAGCAGCTGGCACTGACACCCTGGGTCACCCACGGTCCCAGAGAGAGCTGGCCTTGCATCCTGAGTGTCTCAGAATTGGGTAGAAGTTCAGCTTTAATTGGTTTTAAATTTGAGTCCAACAGCACTGACAGGGAACAAGGGAGCTAAGAAGTTGTGGTTCCCAGCAGGGAAGACACAGGAAGCCTCCTTATGAGCCCAGGCGTTCAGAGTAGCCTGGACAGAGGGAGTGAGAGATTCAGGGGGCTCTTACCCACTATGTCTGCTGACTTCTGGGTGATCTCACAACCTCTCTCTTTCTGGATGGTGGTCTGTAATTCTGTTGATTACATGTATTCCTCCTTTTCACTGTTATCTGCCCAATTATTTTGTTGCTTAAGCCCTGGACCTCGTCAAGAAGTTGTTGGTAGTGGATCCAAAGGCACGTCTTACAACACAAGAAGCCTTAAATCATCCTTGGCTTCAGGTTGGTGTGGGGTCATGCCTGCGAGCATAAAATGCATGGGAGGAGGGGAAGGGCCCTGAAATGCCAGAGAAACAGAGCAAGCAAATGGAGGAAGAGGGCAGAAACACACAGAAACACGTTATTTTCCTTGGGTCTGTTGAATGTTATTAAGATTCAGCTCCAGGTGAAAGTAGGGATATGTGTACACGTGTGTGTGTGTGTGTGTGTGTTGTGGCATATAACACGTTTGCCATTACTTGAGGCTGTTGGATGCATAGGTACTTTATGGCTCATTCTGATTTCCGCTTGGCTGCCCTGAGTCTTTATTGGGCTGTGTTCCTTTGAGAGTGCCCTGCCCTCTCCCGCCCACATTCCCTGCCACCCCAGGTGGGGTGGGCTATATTCCAGCCATCAACTACCTTAAATCTGGGCAACTGGAGGAAATGGAGAAAAGTGGCCTTCCTGGGGGGAAGAAATAGCTATTTCTCAAGCCCCAGTGATTTGAATGTTCCAGCTTCATGGTAAGAAAGCATGCCACCATGCCGGCTGTCACCTGTGCCTTTCAAGCATACATTCGCCTCTTCCTGCTGAGGGTTGCGGGCTGCCTTCAATTAGACGCTGACCTCATTCGGAGCTGCCAAGAGTTGTGGCTTTGCTAGTGTTTAGTTTTGGAGTTAGCTTCAGCGTACTGTAGGCTTTCTGATGGATGCCTTGCCTTATGGCAGTTGTACTCAGTGCAGCCATTCTCCTTTCTGTTAGCTTCTGAGCTCCTGTGTGTGCAGGAGCGACCTAGCCAGGTAATTGAACCCAGCGGCCGTTCTTCTGGGGATTCCTAGTCTAGGGGCTCCTTGGGGTGCAGTTCAGCCTCAGTTCTGTACTTTTTGGGACTCCTGGAAGGCTGACCCCCATTTACTCTTCCAACACACTCCATCGACTCAGCTCATGTTGAAAACAGCAAATCTTTAAAAAAAAAAAAAAGTAAATAAATAAATAAAAGTGGGACGAGAGAGGGAGGAGCAGATCTATGTGTTCTGAATGTTGCCCTGGAAACCACAGTTCCCCTCTCCCCCAGAAGAAAACTTGTCTGATGATTTAGCATTTAATAGACCACACCGATTTGAAACAGCAGGGCCTCGGAGAAAAGGAGTTTGAAGACAAAGGGTGCCCTATGCATGTGGGGATTTAATTTTGGTGTGAAAGAGAAACATGCCACTTGGCCCTTTCCAAGTATCCTAACAGGGAGACTCTTACAGCCAAAATGTAGAGAGATAAGGAGCTATGTTCATTTTGGAAGAAAAAAAAAAAATCCCACATAAAAAAAGGTGCAGCTGGCCAGTTAGGTTTTGGAGCAGGTTTGCAACTGCCTAGAATTTACAAACAATCACAGCCTGTTTTTCTTGTACTTTTTTTTTTTTTTTTTTGGTCTCAAAAGAAGCCCTTTTATTTATTTGTTTAAAGAGCCAAAGATAAGGTGAAGTTCAACTCCACCACAACTCTTGCTTGAATACTCTTTTGTCCACATTTTGTTTTTGCAGTTACAGGTGGGGTGAAGTCTAAAAGAGGACCAGTATGCAGATTTCCCACGTGAAACAACAGTTGGTGGTAGTTTAGACTTTATTTTGGGAAAAGTATGGTGCTTTTGAGAAACCAAATGGTTTTCTGGGTCCGCCCCTGGCTTGAGCGTTGGACCCGTGGGCTCTGGTCTGCAGCCATTAACAGGATGTCGAGTTTTGAGTGCATCCGCTGTATTTACTTTTGGCCTCATGATTACTATTTGAAAAAGTATGTTTCTTCTGTTGGCCTTAGAGAGATCATCAGTACTTGATTCCTGTCTCAGTTATTTTGCCTTCAGTTCCTGCTTCCTGCCCATTGCACCCTGGGAAGCATCAGATCTTGATTCAAGTATTTGGATCCCTACCCTCCACGTGGAGACTGGATTGAATTCTGGGCTCCTGGCTTCAGCTTAGTTCAGCTGTAGCTGTGGCAGGCCATTTGGGAGGTGAACCTGTTAGTGGAATAGTCTATCTCTCCACCTTTCAGATAAGATGAAAGTTAAGTAAAATAATTTTTCAAGAAATTAGGTCTAATAGACTTGTGGTCACTATGATCTTACTGGAGGAACTGCCATCTGCAGGGAATACCATTGTAGTTTCATGTATTAATTCCTTCAGAGAGCAGTATAAATATAATCCTTTGAGCTTGTACATCAAGTACTGTTAAGCTTCACGGATGCCAGCAGAGGGGAATAAGATAAGTCCTTGCTTGGGGAGGTGAGCTTTGTGTCTGAGCCAGTTTGACCGTACTCCTTAGAGAGTGGCACCTTGCTAGGGGTAGGTGACAAGGGTAATAGGTGCAGCGGATAGTTTGAAACTAGGAGGAACAGGGACCTGCTGTCTGAGCTGTGGACACTCATTTTCCCACAATGTGAAGAGGGTGTGAACACTGAGTGGCCTGGCAGTGTTGGGAAGTGATGAGTGGATCAGCATTGTGAAGCATTTACTGGAATCCCACTAATAAGACAGGCTGGAGTGAACAAGGAAGCTGGGTGACGTGGACATATAGAATGTTATAGCTAGAGGCTGGAGGAAGTTCCTAGAGGGAAAGCAGGGATTGGCTTTTGAGAATGGCACTGCACTGGAAGCGAACCCCCACGGCTCTGGGATACTGTGGGTTGGAGTTGGGTGGAGCTTGGCACTTCCAGGAAAGGCGGTGGCTTCTGCATGGGACAATGACAGGAGCGGGGGGTGCGGCTCTAACTCCTGGATGTAGAGAGGAGCCTATTGGCCTCTACCGTAAACTTTCTGTCTTCATGAAAATGCTGCATATTGGAGGCCTGCGTTCCTGTGTGTTTTCTTCCTGCCCACCGAGGGACTCTTGGTTTATGGGATGGAGCTGATGGGGCAAGTTGGTGGGAAACACAGGGGTGTTTGGAACCTGCCAGTTCTGGGTGTGTGTTCTACACACACCACTCATGGAGGCTGAGCCGGGCTCCCAGGTGGTCCCAGAGCCCACATTTCTAGTCTTTTCTGCAAGTTAAGAGAGCTGTCCCATGGTTCTCGAGCGCAGGTGTTATCTTTCACCTCACCCCTGTCCCCAGCTCTCCCTCCTGCTGCATGAAGCACCTGTCATGTGTGTGCTGCTCAGTCTCTTCCTTTCTCCTTAGATCTGAGCTCTGGGCTGAGAGTGTTTGAGAGCATTTTGGCAACTTGTACAGCATCTGCTGGGTACATCTTCCTGGAGTGTTGCATTGGTTGCTATGATGGCATGGTTTTGGCAAGATCTGGGGTGCTATGACTGCCAGTGTCTGTATTTCTCTGACCCAGTGAGAACACTTAGACATGTGGGGTTTGACTCATTCCGTGCCAGCCGAGCCTTGGCTGGTGTTGAGACTTCTGTGAAAGAGTGGAGATGAGCAGTGTGTGATGTCTTCACTCAGGAGCTTCAGCAGGGGACATGCATGTGCCTCCCTATGTCTTTCTTTTCTTTTTTCTATGTATTTGAGAGGCAGAAAGAGAGCGTTCCCATCTACTGGTTGACTCTATGTCCCTGCAGTGTCCAGGGCTGGAGCCAGGAGCTAGGAACTCAGTCCAGGTTTCCCACATGGAGGGGCTGGGGCGGGATGGGGGCAGAAAGCCACTCCTTTGGGTCCTTTCTGACACACCTCAGAGTCCACATCAACAGGAAGCTGGAGTTAGGAGCTGGAGCAGGCTACTGAGCCCAGGTTCTCGGGTGGTGGGTGTGGGTCCCCCACCCATCTTGCCAGGGACATCCTAGCCCTGTCATTCCAGGCACTCTCTTTCCTTGAGACGTAACTTATTTATTCTTTGAATTTCTTCCCAGGATGAGGACATGAAAAGGAAGTTTCAGAGTCTCCTATCTAAGGAAGATAAGTCAGAGGCTCTCCCCCAGCTCCCAGACCAGGTATTGCCGACGAGCAGCATTAGCCATAGCATGGAGACTCTCCCAAGGGATACTTGGGTAACATTGTAAGGGCTCATGTAGACAATACGGTGTTTCAACCTCATCTGCTTGGACATCCTCAGAAGACTCAGTAGTGTCAATTTCATGCATTCAAGCAGTAGGGGTTGTCATTCACAAAGTCTCTGCAAGGCAAGGATGGAATCCTCTGTCCCAAGCTGCAGTTGTAATTGCTTGGAAACTTGAAAATTTGGGCCACTTTGTGCTGCCTTCTCAGGAGCATTAGCAGGAAGCTGGATCAGAAGCAGAGTAGCTGAGACCTGATCCAGTGCTCATGTGGGATGCTGGCATCACAGGTAACAGTTTAATTCACAGAGCCACATAACTTTTGTCCCAGAAATTCTTGGTGCTGGAAGTTTCACGTAAGATGCCCCTGTTTTACTAGAAGTGTGTTAAAGAGCTTTGTTGAAGCCGTTGCTTTTCTTTTGAACATTGCTCCCTTGCCTCCTGCATTTGCAGCCTTCGACCAGTCGAAAGCGGCCCCTGGAAGAAGCAGCCGAGGCAACAGAGACTGCCAAACGCCGGCCCGTGTGTACTGCTGCGTCGTAACCCTGTGGTCTGAACATGAAAGACATCTACCTTCTTGAATTTTGCTGTCAACGGTTTTTGTTCCCCTCGGTCTGGGTCTTTGATTTATGTTTTAATTATGGGAATCATGGCTTCTCTACAATCACTGATACATAATTAAAATCCCGATGGAACCTTGGCTCTGCGTGGATGCCCGTTGAAGAGCTTTTAAGTTGAACGCCTGTTCCCTCCTACCTAGGCAGCTGGGTACCATTCATCAGGAGCCCTGTGGCTACTGTCATCCCCGGGCCAGCTCTCAGGATATCACCTTGTTCTTTGTTTGTGAGAGCTGAATACAAATCCTAAAGGCTCCTTAAGAAAGTCAAGCATGAAAAAGGCACAGCGAAGCTGGGGTGGGGTTTGTGGTGGCAGGCTACCAAATTCCTGGGAGCTGCAAGGAACTTGGGTGCGTGTGACATGGGCCAACTTGCAACTCTTATCCTCATTCTTGTGGAGTTCCTGCAATATTGGGCTGAAGAAGTTTGTGAAACTTAGAACTTTGCCATTTTAAATAGAGCATCTCTACTGTGTGTGTGTGTGTGCACGCGCGCGCCTGCAATGGAGTCCTGTAGCCAAGCACACAGCTATTTCTACAGTAAGGATCTATAGGGAAAGAGGGAGGGAAGAATTATACATGATCTCTCATGTCAGTCTCTTCTGCCAAATGACTTTTGGATGACTCACTCCACAGAGCTATTTGGGTTTTAGAAGCAGAAAGAAGCTAAGTGGGCAGGCCATGTTGGCCCACTTATGAGCAGGGAGGCGCTGTCCAAAGCCCTGCCCAGGGCGGAGCTCTTGTTCTGGTGATTCTCTTAGATACTTTGTCCTACCACTCATGTTACCAGCAAGGAGCCCCAGGGTTCAAAGAGTAAAGTGACTTGTCCAACATCACGCAACTGCTAAGTGGAAGAGTTGGGACCTAACCCAGTTCTTTGCTGATTTGAATACTAACTTATTTTTTTTTTTTTGTCCTTCCAGTCTCATATTGAATCAGACCCAGAGTTGTCAACTCAGCGCTGGCAAAACCCACAAAGGCTGATGAGTCGGTCTTTTAACAGTTTTTTTGTTTGTTTGTTTGTTTGAAAGAGAAAAAAATCAGAAATCTGACATCTGGTGGTTTACTTCCCAAAGGCCTGCAGCAGCTGAGGCTGGGCTAGGCCAAAACCAGGTATCTGAATGTCCCTTTGAGTCTCCCATACGGTTGGCAGGGATCCAGGGACTTGAGCTGTCACCTGTCACCTTCCAGGGTATGCGTTAGCAGGAAGCTGGACTCCAGCTTGGGATAGGAGAGTCCTGAGTATGTTTTTTTTTTAGGCTTATTTTAATTTTATTTGAAAGGCAGAGTTACACAGAGGGAGAAACACACACACACATGCACACACACAGAAACAGATTTCTCATCTGCTGGTTCACTGTCCCAAATGGCCCCCATGGCTGAGACCTAAAGCCAGGAGCCTACAGCTTCATCTAGGACTCCCACATGGGTGCAAGGGATCTTTCTGCTGCTTTCCCAGACACGTTAGCAGGGATCCGGGTTAGAAGCAGAGAAGCCAGGACTCAAACTGGGCCCCATATGGGATGCTAGTATTGTTGATAAGGCTTAACCTTCTATGCTATAGCATTGCTCCCTGACCCTTAACTCCCCAAGGAACATCTGCCCCACAGAAGATATCCTTGTCCACCCAGAGTATTCTGTCCCTGCAGGCTGGCTGCAGGGTTAGCCCTGTGATCTGTGGAGGTTGTAGTGACTTGGTGACAAGGAAGAGATACCTGCTCTAATTGGTTTATGAAAACAGGATTAGTTGGCATGATTACAAATGACCAGGCTTGGAAACCATACAGGAGTGCAGGTGGTTGGAAAGGCTAATCCGCCCCCCCCCCCTTCTCTTTTGAAATTAATTTTTGAAAGAGAGAGCTCCCATCTGCAGACTCATTTCCAAAATGCCCAAAACATGTGGTCTTAGACTTGTTCATGTCTGGGTCATGGCTGAATCCAGGAGCCAGGAACTCAATCCAGGTCTCTCTAGTAAGTGAATGACAGGAACCCAATTACTTGGGCCAATTACTGCTGCCTGCCAAGGTGAGCCTCGTTGGAAGATGGATTTAGAGGTTAATGCTGTGTATTTAACACATATATTTCTGTGTGGGACACAGGCATCTCAACTACCTAGATAAATGCCCACTCCAAAGCTGGCTTCTCTTATCTCCATCTGACCAACTGAATCTTTTTTTTTTTTTTTAAAGATTTATTTTATTTTTATTGGAAAGGCGGATATACAGAGAGGAGAGACAGAGAGGAAGATCTTCCATCCAATGATTCACTCTCCAAGTGAGCGCAATGGCCAGTGCTGTGCCGATCCGAAGCCAGGAGCCTCTTCTGGGTCTCCCACGCGGGTACAGGGTCCCAAAGCCTGCTTTCCCAGGCCACAGCATGGAGCTGGAAGGGAAGCGGGGCCGCCGGGATTAGAACCGGCACCCATATGGGATCCCGGGCGTGCAAGGCGAGGACCTTAACCACTTGCGCCACTGCGCCGGGCCCTTTTTTTTTTTTTTTTTTAAATCACTGATTTTAGGCCACATTGTACCTTGCTGGCCATGAATTGAGCACCATGGATAGTTCAGATGCCTTTGGTGATTCAGTGAAGACAAGGTTGGGGGACATGGGGAGAAGGGGTGGGGGTGGGGAGACACACTGCTTGCTGTTCCTTAGGCAATAGGAAAGGAAAGCTTAGTAATTTCCATTGCAATTATATGTAAGCATCTTGAGGTTTGGCTGGCCTGGTGCAGGGGGCTAGGGTAAAGATTTGGGTGATTTGCTTCTTTAGAGGATTGAAGCAGGCATTGCCAAATTTAATGAGCCTTGGCTCATTTGAATGTTGAATGTGGTTTCCAAGGACATTTTTGTGCCTTGGGGCAGGTAGCCAGCCCTCCTCTGTTTCCAGAACCTTTTGAATTGGCTCCCTCTGATTAGACCTACCTTGGTAGACTGCATAATAACTCCCAAAGGTGTTAACATTCTAAAAACCCTACTAGGGTCTAATGCAATGGCTGAATCCTCACCTTACAAGTGCTGGGATCCCATATGGGTGCCAGTTCATGTCCTGGTTGCTCTACTTCCCATCCAGTTCCCTGCTGTGGCCTGGAAAAGCAGTTGAGGAGGCCCAAAGCGTTGGGACCCTGTACCCATGTGGGGGACACATTATGGTTATTTGGGAAGTGAACCAGTGGATGGAAGATCTTTTTGGTCTTTCCTTCTCTCCATAAAATCTGTTCTTATCCAGTAAAAATAAATAAAACTGAAAGAAAAAAAGATGGGTACCCTAACAGCACCAACCTCTTATGCCAACTGTTTGTGAGCATCCAGTGGAGGTCTCTAAAGGGCCTCGTATGCGGTGGAGGATTTATTAAGGTTGGCTTCCATCATTAAAGACGAGTGAGTCACATAAGTAGTCGGAGGGAGCCATGGAATGTTCTCGAGCCGCTTGGCACACAAGATGGGAAATGGCAGATCTGAAGTAGATGGTGGGAGCAGAGGTTGAAGGCTGAGATCACTGCTACTTCCTTTTGTTTGCGGCCTGGAGGCCCACTGTGTGCCTACTGGATGGTACAGTGGACAGTCCAGCATGTTGTGTATACCTCTTGTAACTGCATTCCTTCCCCTGCCCCTCCAGTCTCCTTAACCGCTTTCGGCAGTGGCACTGTCTAGCCAAGTCTCGCCACTCTGGCTGTGGACTCGGTTCAGATAGGGACACGTGGCCCAAGGAAGCCCAGTGAAAATCGCCTGTGGTTGTAATGACAGGTTGAGCATCCATACAGTAAAAACCTCAGATCTGAAAGAGGACTGACGTGATGCCAAAGGTGGAAAATTTCACACTAGGAAGCTTTGTTTCATGCTTCCAAATGACTAAACATACTGTATAAAAGTGCCTTAATACATCTCTGTAATACATGAGTTTTGTGTTTGTTTGTGTTCTATACACATATAAATACAAATAGTGAAGAATCTAAATAAATCCAAAAGCTTGAAACACTCTGGTCACAGGCGTTTGAGGCAAGGGATGACCTTCCACAGGTTTTCTTGGGGTCAGTGCCTGCTAGGTGCTGCCTAGGCCACCACATGGAAAAAACTGTGTGAGAATGAAGGTAGCTGGGGGTTGGGTGGGAGAATTCGACTGAGTGTTGGGGTTGTTAGATTTGAGCACATGGATCCCACGGAAGCTGAGGTCCCACCCCAGGACGTTAGAATTCTAAGAACAGATTTTTTTTTTGTTGTTACCTTGTTTCACTCCAGCTTTGAGTTGGTTTTTGTTTTTCTGTCTTGTATCTGGGAGGTTTCTTTGTTATGGTAGGGAAAAAACCAGTCTCTGCTGTTCTTCTGCCAACTCTAGGGTTTTTCAGGGAGGTTTGGGGCAGAGAATGGAAAGTGACGTTGTGGGAAGTTGAGAGGCGGTGCAGTCCTAAAGTTGGGTGAACTCCTTCCAGCTAATTATACTGGAGGATTTGGGAGGACAGCCCGTTCGTTAAGCTTTTAGGATTCTTGGACGAATGGGTTGAGGATTACACCAGCAAACCCCAGAGAGCTTGGTGTGTGCCAGGAGTTGGGCTGAGGCGTGCGCAGGCGTCAAACCCACGACGTGTTTCATGCAGTGATTGTGGCTCTGTCAGGTGACACCGTCCCCCAGTATTTAAGAGATGGAGTTTGATCTCTTCTTGGGAGCCCTTAGTTCCTAACCATTAAGGACACGCACCTACAAGGGTTTGTCATCTGATTACCTCGTGGTATACGTGTTTTTTGTTTTTAAAAAAACCTGAATTACTTGGCTGAGTGATAAGATTTCAAAGAGGGTCCCAGAAGACGACGGACGAGTGCCTGGTCACCAAGGCTTAGTGGAGATGCAAAACTTGAACTTGGCGGGGGGGCTTGGGGTGGTGGTGGTGTCTCCATTGCACCGACCTGTGCCACTTACAGCCTTGCACACCTCCACCTGAAGGGATCTCATCACCTTAGTAGCATGCTTGGCCGCACTTCTTGGAGAGAGAGCCTCGCCCCCCGGCCCCGCCTTGCGGGTAAAGCCAAAGGGTTAGGGCGCACCAGGGGCCGAGCGGCCGGGATCCGGGTGGTCCGCAGTGCGGCAGGCGGCAGCGCGAAACAGAGAACGGCGTGCCCTCCCTCTTGGAAGGGGGCGCGGCGGGGGTGGGCGCGGCGCCGGGAACAGCGGAGGGCTCGAGGCGGGGTGCGCGTGCGCGGTGGTGGGGGACCCGCGGGGGCGCGCAGGGGGGTGCGCGCGTGCGCGGTGTTGGGGGGTGGCGGCGGTGGCCGCGGCGGCGCGCGGCACGGCGGGAACATGGCGCGCGGGAGCGGCGCGCGCTCCTAGCTGACTGGACCGTTAGCTCGAGGCAGACGCGGCCCGGGCCCCGTGGGGATGGAGCAGTCGCCTTCGCCGGTGTCCGAACCGATTTCGGGGACCACCCCGGCCCGGAGCCGCAGACGGCGGGAGTCCGAGTCTCCACCCGCGCCGGCGCGGGTGAGTGCGTGAGGGGGGCGCGGGCCGGGAGACTTTCTTTGTGAAACTCTGTCTGTGCGAGCCGGGCCGGGCCTCAGTCTCGGACGAGCGGCCGTGAGGAGGAAGCGACGGGGCCGTCAGGGTTCGAGCCTTCGTCGCGAGCTGTTGGGCGGCGGGACTCCGTTCCAGCGCCTACTTGCCTCAGTTTCCGCGCGAGGGGTGTGTGAGAGAAGAGTGTGTGTGTGTATTTGCGCGCGCTCGCGGTATACAGTAGGCGCCTAATGCGCGCCGCGCCTCCCTGTTGCTCCCGCCCCCTCGGGGAGGAACCCCGGGGCCCGAGTGGGAGTCTCGGGGAGACAGGTGAGGGCTCAGGTGAGGCGGGCGGGACTGAGCTCTCCATCCCCGGGCTTCACCTCAGCGTCCTGCTGGAAAGCTGCCTTGGCCTTGGGGTTCTCTGGGGGGTGTGTGGCTGAGGCGGGGTTTGTGGGAAAGGATGCCCTGCTGACTGGGGCACCGGGTTCTGCAGGTACCCCCAAACCCCAAAGTAGCCAGCAACTGGGGTCATCCGGAGTACTTCAGGACTTCACATCCGACCCCAGGTTCACCCAGGAAAGGGAGCCGATCTTGACATACGTACACACACACATATACGTGCACACATATGGACACACGTGTATATGTATATATGCATATATTGTAACAAACTCTGGAAGTTGTTACAAGTTTGGCAATGAGTTTGGCCAACTCTGTTGTCGAAAAATAAGGTTCCTGCGATCAGAAACTTTTTTTTTTGTTTATGCCTCACCATGGCGTTCTGATCCCGGGCACTGTGCCTGGCAGCTGGAGGGTGTCGCTCCGTGTCTGCAGGAGGACGTGGGGCTTGATAAAACAGTAATTCTGGAGACATTTTTCCTGAGCTCCTTGAGCACCGTCCCTCCGGGTGATGCTTCCCTGACTCCCCGGCTCAATTTTTGTGGCTGTTGGTAAATGCTGGGTTTCTAGAAGGTTGTAGTGGGAAGCAGGGCAGATGTCGCGTAGCGTAAGCGACTAACTGTACCTACCAGATAGATTTTAATGAATCCTGAGGCAACATCCTAAATGAAGAAATGCATGTTTCGTTCGCTTCGCTTGGAAACGCGAGGCTTGTAGGATTTTCTTCCTTTGAGGCAGGTACCTTTTCACGTTTTCATTGCAGCAAATTGGAATTATTGTGGCTCTCTTTAACGAAGTTGCTAGTTTGCTTAATGAAACCTCTTATGTATTTGTAGTCCTTTATGTTTCTTTTTTCTTTGAAATTGATATTACTATTTAGTTCAGGGGCAATGCTAAAATAAAATTATTTGAAAATTAGTTGATGTTTCAGTGTTTTTTTTTTTAAGCTAAGTTGGCTTCTTTTAAGTAGGAAGTTTTGTTTTCTGCATAGAAGAGAAGACTTTTGGAGTTAACATTGCAGCTGAAGAACAATGATTGAAAAGCTGAGTGCTATATTTGCCCAGTGTGTTGTATTTGTAGCTTTTGTGGCTGTGTCTTTTTACAAGTGTCTTTAATTTTTTTTTTTTTTCAATGGCTGGAGCTGAGCTGATCCAAAGCCAGGAACCAGGAGCTTCTTCCGGGTCTCCCACACAGGTGCAGAGTCCCAAGGTTTTGGGCCGTCCTCCACTGCTTTCCCAGGTCACAAGGAAGTGATGCATCTGCAACACAAACTGGTGCCTGTCTGAGATCCTGGGCATGCAAGTTGAGGATTTAGCCACTGAGCCATCGTGCTCGGCCCTACAAGTATCTTGAAAAAGAAACGTTGGCCGATGGGTAAAGTCACTGGCTGTTGATAAATGCCAGGTTTTTTAGTAGTGGCTACATTGCATATGGGCACCGGTTTAAGTCCTGGCTGTTTCACTTCTAATCCAACTCCCTGCTAATGCACCTGGGAAAGCAGCAGAGGGTGACCCAAGTGCCCATGTCCTTGCCACCCATGTGGGAGACCTGGATGAAGCTCTTGGCTGTTGTGGCCATTTAGGGAGTAAATCAACAGATGGAATATTTCTTCTTACACTCTCTCTCTCTCTCTTTCTCCCCCCTCTCCTGCTGTCTCCTTCCTTCCTTCCTTCCTTCCTTCCTTCCTTCCTTCCTTCCTTCCTTCCTTCCTTCCTTCCTTCCTTCCTTCCTTCCTTCCTTCCTTCCTTCCCCTTCTCTCTTACCCTCTGCCTCTCCAGTTTTGTAACTCTGCTTTTCAAATAAATAAATCTTTTTTTTTTAAGATTTTATTTTTATTATTTTTTCATTGGAAAGGCGGATATACAGAGAGGAGAGACAGAGAGGAAGATCTTCCGTCCGATGATTCACTCCCCAAGTGGGCGCAACGGGCCGATACTATGCCGATCCGAAGCCAGGAGCCTCTTCCGGGTCTCCCACGTGGGTGCAGGGTCCCAAAGCTTTGGGCCGTCCTCGACTGCTTTCCCGGGCCACAGGCAGGGAGCTGGAAAGGAAGCGGGGCTGCCGGGACCAGAACCGGCACCCATATGGGATCCCGGGCATGCAAGGCGAGGACCTTAATCACTGCGCCACCGCGCCGGGCCCTCAAATAAATAAATCTTAAAATAATAATTGAAAAAAACCTGAAATGCATACTCTTGAATATTTTGACTTAATGGTGAAGATGCTTATGGGGGTTGGGGATGGTGTTGTGACCAAACAGGTTAAGCTGTCACTTGCACCTCCATTCCAACTCTTGTCTGCTTCACTTCTCATCTAGCTCTGCTAATGCACCTGGGACAGCAGCCGAAGGATGCCCTGCACCCATCTTGGAGACCTGGATGAAGTTCATTGACTCCTGGCTTTGGGCTGGCCCAGTCCCAGCTGTTGCAGTTATTTAGAAATTGAACCAGTGGATGGAAGATCTCTCTTTTTGTTTGTACCTCTGCCTCTTGAATAAACAAAATAAAATTTAAAAAAGCAAGAGAGGTACATATTGGGATGCTCAGATCCCACATGGAAAGGTGCAAGGTTCAGTCTGAGTGCCCTGCTTCTGATTCCTGCTTCCTCCTCTTGTACATCCGGGGAGGCAGCAAGTGAAGGCTCAAGTGCTTGGGTCCTTGCTGCCCATGTGAGAGACCTAGACTGAATTTTGGTTCTGGGCTTCCTTGCCCAGATTATGAACCTTTGAGTCATGAACCAGTAGATAGTGTCTGCACCCCCCTCTCTCTTTTTACTGAGATACAGTTGTATACAGTTCACCTATCAAAAAATTGTTTTGTGACAGAATTCTCAGAGTAGTATGTAAACACATTTTCCTTACCCTACAAAAAGTCCCTCATTCACAGGCAGCTGTGAGTTATTCCTCTTCCCTCCAGCTACTGATAATAACTAACCTCTTTTCTGTCTCTATGAATTTAACTCTTCTGCATGTTTAATTATCGATTTTTTTTATAAGATGTATTTGAAAGGCAGAATTTCAGAAAGAGAAATCTGCCGTTCAATCACTGGCTTACTGTCTAAATGGCCACAATGGCCAGGGCTGGTCTAAAGTCAGGAGCCAAGGACTTCTGGATCTCCCACACATGTGCAGGGGGGGGGGGCCCAAACCCTTGGGTTGTCCTCTGCTCTTTCCCCACGTGCCTTAGTTGGGAGTTGAATGGCAAGTGGAGCAGCTAGGACATGAACTGGCACCTCTGTGGGGGTGCTGATGCTGCAGGTGGCAGCTGAACTTGCTGTGGCTGAATGAAGGCCCCCAGTATTGATTGCTTTCAGTGTTCATCCATACTGTTGCATTTAACAAGCACTGTTTCATTCCTGACTATTCTTAAGTAATGTTGAATGAATATGCCTACATTCTGGTTATCTATTTGATGATGAGCTTGTGTGTTTTCTTTTGTGTGTGTGTGGGGGGGTGAAGATTTATATATTTATTTGAAAGGCAGTTGGAGGGAAGGATATCTTCCATTTATTGGTTCCCTCTCCATACAGCTGCAGTGGTTGGGGCTGGCCAGGGCAAAGGCGGGAACCTGGTACTCCATCTGGGTCTCTTACATGGGGTCCCAGTACTTGGGCCATCTTCCACTGCTCTCCTAGGCACACAAACAGGAAGTTAGGTTGAAATTAGAGCAGCAGGGACTTGAACCAGTGTTCCTATGGGATGCCAGCCTAAACATGCAGTGCCTTACCTCACAGAGTCACAGTGCTGACTGCGGCTTTTGGTGCTTGGGAGTAATTCTCTCGTTGACATTTGTGTACAACTTTGAGTGTGATCTATTCTTATTTTTCTTTGGTTATATCTTCAGGAATAGAATTACTGAGTCTTGTGATAACTCTGTTCACCTTCTTGTGGGATTGTCATCCCCATCAGCAATGCATAGGACTTCTGATTTCTCTACCTCCTGGCCAGCAATTTGTTTTGGTCTTTCAATAGTTAATCTAAAAGCTGTGAAAAGGTATCTTATTATAATTTTGCTTTATATTTTCATAGTGAGTAATGTTATTGGATGTAAGTTCCTATGCTTAATTAGCCATTTGAATAACTTCCTTTTTTAAAAAAGATTTATTTTTATTAGAAAGTCAGATTTTACAGAGAGAAGGAAAGACAAAGATCTTCCATCTGCTGATTCACTCCCCAAATGACTACAATGATCAGAGCTGAGTGGATCTGAGGCCATGAGCCAGAAGCTTCTTCTGGGTCTCCCATGTGGGTTCAGGGTCCCAAGGCTTTGGGCCATCCTTCGTTGTTTTTCCAGGTCACAAGCAGGGAGCTGGGTGGGAACTGGAGCAGCTGGAACATGAACTCATATGAGATTCAGGCACGTGCAAGGCAAGGACTTTAGCCAATAGGCTATTACACCAGTCCTGTATTTTGTGTTCTTATGTGTGGAACTATTTTAAAATTTCCATTTCAGTTCCTTCCTAGAATTATAGTTACTTTTGCATTTGTCTTTTTAGCTTCTTTATTTAGTTTATTGATTTCAATTTTCTGTCCTACATATTCCACCTATAATTGAATAAATGATCTTAGGAAGCATACAAATGGT